GTTAGTCGAATAAAATTATTAAATATGTTGATAATGAATATCAAGTATCACCATCATGTCAGTTTTCTTCATATTTTACAAACTGTACATTGGGAACTTAATTCTTTAGAATCAGAAAGCTAATAAATCTGGAAAAAGGGATACTTTTACGCATGTGCTCAATGAACCAAAAGAAATGCAAACACTCATACAATTAATAGAAGCATCATGAAATGCACTTTATTGAATAATGCTAATTGAGTTGAATCATCAATAATAGTACATATTTCTGCTAATATCGCCATTATTATCTATGACACAACCGGAAAAAACGGTAAATTGTTCTGCTTGATAATAAATAATGCAAATATTACTGGGACAGATGATCATAGATCATCAGACAATAGAATTTGTGTGAACTTGACTAATATTTAATAACTGATAACTTTTTTGAAGCAAATGTGACAACAGCATAAAAATAGTTGTGGTGCTTTTCTAGGAGGGAAGAAATAGGTGAACTATTAAGCTCACAGCCTGCAGCTAATGTTTGTTGGCTTGAAAAGTTTACTATTCTTTATCGATAGAAAAAAATTCACCATGCTTTGCAGAAGAGACAAATCTTAATGCTTTAAACCACATCAATCTTCATAACGGTAATCGATACTAGTAGTAGTGGATGACACAGACAATGACACAATTACATTAAATTGAGTGAACATTATTGTGAATTGGTTATTGAATTGAATTATTAGAGCAAACAATGAATTTGAAGATTCTTTTCTCCCTGAAGATCAGTTTCCTTCCAGTAATTGGGTATTTCATATTCGGATAATTGCAAAGTCAAATTAATTTCAAGGAACATTTATTGATTTATTGATTCATCACTTTCACTTCTAGAACAATACTTTTGAAAGTTTATTTTCAAAGGATTAAATTTTTCTCTCAGCTTTGTGATGCCAAACTTTCGTTATACTGAGACAAAGGTAGAAGTAGAGGTGGAAGTAAAGGTAAAGATGATGACAGGGATAGAGATAAAGAAATGAACGAAGACAGTCGGTTGAATATCCGACTTCACATTTCGATGAAAATACTGCTGTACAAAACAAAATTAACTGAATGTCACGATAAGGCATTGACTCATCTGTCATCGATCGGTGGATCGATATTTTTGTACTTGAACAAAACAGGTGGTGGTCATTGGATAGGACTAACTTTAAATAGTCGTTCTTAGGAAGAAGTGAAGCGAATCGATTGATCAGTATGAAGAATAAATGAATGAATAATGAATGCATGTTGATTCCGGACGAGGTGTCATCCAGTTGTCACCATGGGCGATGGTGATGAGACTGGTGCAAACCGATAGGACAAATACAAATCGATGGAGCAAAACAGTTTTATTTAAAGTAAAAAAGTAAAATGGTTCGAATGAAGACATATTGTTTGTGCAATTCAAAGGACAAAGATCAAATAATGCAAATTCACAAAAGGTTTTTTATTTTTTATTTTGAAAATTGTCCAATATCATGCAAACAGCATTACATTTCAGTTCCGACAAATTCCAATCAGCGATCAGCTGACCTCTGTAATCATTATTATCTTCTTCTTTCACACCATTTTTTCATTTAACACTGTGAAATAGTCAGCACGAATTTTCATATTTATCTTTCCCATCCCTTACCAATATTTTATTAATGTTAAAGCTTAACTATTATGTATATCGACTTTTATGCTACTATCAACATTTTCATCATTATTACGAGATTCGAAGAATATAACAAATGTTTTAGATAGAATAGATTTTATGTCTTTTAGAAAGAAGCTGTACTGAATGTTTCATCTTCATGGTTAATGGAAATGTTTTCCTCATGCCATTATTCCTCAAGCAATTTGTTCTTCCAAATGTTGAAAACGACAAGTTGATCATGAAATAGTCGATTTCATCGGTTAACTTTGTGAGCTAATTATGCTAAAATTGGACCAAACTAATAATAGACTTAACTTATAGTGATAACATTTATGAATGAGTGATAAAATGATTAGAAAAATAAATGATAATTTAGGAGTACTTTAAAATCAGGAAGAGTTCACATAAATTTGCTTCATTGCATTGTTGCCTATTTGGATATTGACTATTTTATTCTAAAATTTGTCGTAAAATAAATTATGTTTACTAAATGTGCTTTTAAAAGCAGGAATCTCGTCATTGAATAAGTCACAACATCATTTTTGAAAAGGTGATAGGAAGGGCAATGGATTGTCTAAGAGTTCATTTCATTTTTGTCCATTATTTTAAGTTATGTGGGAAAACCAATCAGATTATCTGATCTATCATTGGTAGTTCCAAATTCTATCAAAGCAGAAAAAATCTTTCTTAAAAAAAGTTTTATTTAGGTTGCAGAAAGAATGTAAATAAATTAAGGAGAAAAACATTTCTTTTCCTTCTCAGTCCTGAAGTTATGTTCCTATTATTATTTAAACTTATTAAAACTCAGAATTGATTACTGCTAGCGACCGTCTAATCTGCAACACACAAAAGAGAAACAATAGTGAAAGGAATAAGAAGTGCTTTCTAATTATGTCATTTAAGCTTTATAGAAGAAGTCAAATATTGTTTAGATGTTGAAGGGTCAAAGCAAGTAGTAAATAAATGTTCGAAATGCCTAACAAATAAGGAAACTTCAAAAAGTAAATTATAATCCGGAAACTAATTGGAAAAATTAATCTATGCAATGAAAGAAATGAGAAGTGCAAGGAGTCGAAATCAATTTCAAGTAGTTTTCAAATAGAATTCATTCCAAATTTCAATAAAATTGACTGAAAATAATGCAACAAAACAAAAAAAACTGCCATGCGATGAAGACCGAAGATAAGTGCAAAATGCAAAGTAAATATCACAGATTAAAAGACAAATAGAAATTTTAATGTCTTATCTGTCAATTCTTTATCAGCACTATTTCATTCATATCTCTTGTTACAGAATAAAAGTATACTGTTTTACTTTAGCAATTAGTATTTTCAATTCGTTAAATTTTCATTCTAGAAGATTTTCTTGAACCCTTTTGCTATTCATATTGCAAGCTTTTGTTTTTTTGTTTTTTCCAAACTCTGTTTTTTTTTTTTGTAAAATTAAAATGAAATGGGATAAGCTTGTTTTGTCAGCTAACTGAATTGAAAGCAAAGGAATCCTTGAAAAAAAAATTTTTTTCAAAATATTTTGCTATTAGAAGGCAAAAAGATGAAATTAATAAAGTGAAGTAAGAATCTATTTGCCTTTCACTGTTCTTTCTTTTTTTCAATTTTAAAAATTGTTTCAATTATGCAATTCAAAAATGGGAAAAAATTGCTAAGACATTATTAGTGATTGCTACTTTTCAGTAAGAATAAAATAAAAACTGAAGGATGCTATGTAGGATGTATATCAACAAAGAAGAAGATTGAAAGATAATTTAGTGCTAATGCTTCTTCATTTCTTTTTTTAAATTCAGGATTAAAATAGTACTAGACTTCCTGCCATTAGAGTGCGAGATAATCAATACTTTCCTACAAAATTTCCTTCTGACGCTGTTTTAATGTACTTTTACAGAAATAAATTTTAATATAACTTTACTCTATCATCCTTCCTTACCCACTCTTTAAACAATCCCATGTTTACCAATTCTTTAGAAAAAAACCAATATAGAGAACATCGTTTTCGACAATATTTTATTGATTTGATTCGTCAATAAATAAACCGAACTAAATCAGTGAATTTTTTCTGGTAGAATATTTTCTTTCAAATTTTGAAAATGCTTCAAAAGCGTTGCGCTACAAAATGCAAATTTTCACCGGAGAAAACAAAGCAAGGACAAAAATATGTGTCGATTAAAAACACGAATCTCAACATTTCTATTTGAATTTAAAATAAAATTGAATTCATTTCTGGAATGAGTTGCGGTATGAATAAAAGGCTATGTAAAATGTTTCCAATTAGATTAAAAGCCATGTCAATATTTGTCAGTTATTGAAGTCGATATAATTTTTGAAATCTGTTTATGTCCGTAATTTGATCGAATTTAAGAATCGTACTGTTTAATCAGACACACCAAACGGTTTTATTGTATGTTTCACGATTCCCTCACGGCCTTATTTAATCAACTATTTCGGTAATTCAATTAGATAACAAAATTTGTATAATTGAATGTCTTCAAGACGCACACTTTTAGTTATTCAAGACTGGGACTGTATTCAACTAGCACTACTGATTCTACTTCCGCCTTTTTATTTAATAGGCCTTAATAGGCCAGATATGTTTCAAATTGATGAATTTTGGACTCTCAAAGTTCATTCATTTAATCGACTCACAATTAATAACAAAAATGGAAAATCACTTCATTCCGTATATCAATTATCGTACTGCTTATCCAGTCAGTTGCAATATACAGTACTGAAGGGCACAGCGTGACCTGAAATATCCGTGTAGCTTAGTTTCCTCAATGGAACCTTACAATCCTATAAATTACTTTTTAGCATTACAAAATATTATTGTTTGTCCTTTATCCTTTATTTTTAGTTTTTTTTTCTTTCCCCTCGCCCACTTCACTTATTTTTTATTTTTTGAAAAAAATGAAAATATGCCCAATTTGATATGGCCCAATTTTTTGGGCCATATCAAATTCAAAACAAAATAAAAACAGTTTAAAAGTGAAAATATATCTATCAGTTCAAACCGGCCACTTATCCAAGTCCTTTTTATATATATCAAAACGAAAACTTTCGCATTTTAATGTGAACTATTAAATCAAAGGCATTTATTTATGATGAAATATACACCAATAATTAATTGCTATCAATCTCCCACTGCTCCTTCCTTTTTCCTAGTCTACTTCCTAGCATCCATCCTCATATTTTCATTTCTTTCCTGATGAGCGCCACTGCTGCAATTTCCTATTTACAACCTTTCCAAATCAATATTTACTGCAGCTTCCGGCAAAAACTGGAAGATCGAAGGTCGGTTATCACCATTAAGTTTGAAAATTTGCTCGCTATAATTGATCATCGCGCTTTCGTAAAAACAATGAAGGAATCGACTGCAACGATGAACGTTGGAAGGATGATGGTAGTGAACTGCAATTTTCGTTGTATTTGTATTTTAAGAATTAAAATGGAAGGTAAATGCAAGTTCATATTTGAAGTCAAGAAAATAGAATTGCAAATTTTTCGTTTCAAGATGAATGAATCGAAATTTATAGAAAACAAATATAGGAGTACCCAATTCGGGAAAGTTGTATATTTGATAGAGGAGGTAATACGGCTGCCGTTGACCTTTCACCTGAATGGGAAGATATCGTACCATGGCAAGATTTTGCCTTCAAATTTCTTGATATTTGCTTCCTACAGAATTATGTTTGTTTCAGTTTTTATTGTATTTGTATTTGCAGTTTTTTTTTTTTCAGTTTTTAATTAGCACGGACAAAGTAAGAAAAAGATTCCTGATAGAAGTTTTAAGTGGTGTAAGGGAAGCGCGAGATTTTTATTAGCAGGGTATTTCAAATCTAAGTCGGAATATATTGAAACTTTAATTATTCAAACTCTAATATATACAATAAATTTTTCAGTCAAAAAACTTTTGAATTTTCATTGTATCTCAGCGTTTTCTTTCTTATTTTTCAAAATCGCAATATAAAATCCATGAAGATAATTACCAAGAATTTGCAAACTTCACAACTTATTATTTTTTTTGGTATTACTAGGAGACTGTGATAAAGACAAATTGAAAAGACAGAATATATAACGAAGTGCGAAGATATTTCAACCTTGTAGTTAAAAGACATAAAAAAGCGTTAAAGCAATACTTACCATCTTGGCTTCCATTTTGATGACAAGTCAAATGATTTTTTGGACGATACTATTTGACTAGAAGCAGTCGATGCACAGATACTAGTAGAGTCATCACTGGTTGCAAGCAGAGCGCATGCTTCCCTGAATTCAATATCGCCGAAAGCATCAGACAATACACTTTCGATATCAAAAGCATTCAAAAGCGAGTTGGTAGATTGGCGACTGATATCTGATCGAGTCGACGATGAATCTCGTAAACCTACAATAATATGGTTACATTCTCATATGGCAGTGTTTTCATAACAATTTTTTTTTCAATAATCCTTGTGAGTAAAAATTTAGATACCACGGGATAAATGCATATCCTCTTCAAAGGTAGCAATATTTGAAGAATGTATGATATCGGTTTGTGTAGTAGCATGATGTGTACGAGGTATCGGTTCACAAACTTGATCCATGAAGCGTTCCAATTTCGAATTTCTTACAAATTTACTGAACAACATTGATCTAAAACAGAAATTGTCAATGATAAACATATATACACAATTCAAATTACGTACTGAAAGAACATGTAAAAATGATGAACAAATGTTTTAAGCATGATAATCATTTTTGAAAGATTGCTCTTCACTTAGTCGTTATCGGATATCCTTTCTTTCCAACAGTTCAATTCACTTCCTTGCGATAAGTACAGTAAGTAAAAAATTTTTAATTCTGGTATGAGTTAGGAAAAATATACCGAAATTTGTACTAGAGAAGTAAAAATAGGCTTCTTAACATTTGATTTGTTATGAGTGCAGATTCAATTGCTGTTCTTATATCTCATTTGATAAGAATGTAAATAATATCAATATCAGCGTATCAGATTGCTAATATTCGTACTACCATTGCAAGCAACTGATATCTAGTTTATGTTAACTTACTGAAAATCATCATTTGGAGTATAAAATTTTGCTTTTTCCAATGCTTGTACAGTGCGAATAGCTGGAATGTGTTTCCATAGGTAATCAATTAAATCACCACCTCGAAGTGTTGGTCTTGAAAACTGCATTTCTCCCGGACTAATTCTACATGTTTGTGCTGAAATCATGGTTAATTAATAGTTGAGTGTTGGGCACTTCTTTAGCTTTCATTCTATTCCGTTAAGCTACTTCTCTAGACAAACAGCAATCTTCACAAAGAAGAAAAAACTCACCTTGTTGCTGCTGATACTCTTGTGTTTGGTGCTGAAATGGTATAGACATTTCTGATTCGGATTCGATATCAGAATTTATTTCAGCAAGTTGTGATTCGATCATATTATTTGCGATACGCTCCGCAACCCATTCTTTAAATCGAGTTGGCAAACTCCGCATTGCTTTATATTGTTTATCCAGAGGAACTGTTAGCAAACCACCTGAAGTAAAACATGCCGCATGTATCATTTAACTATTAGATTTCATAGGATTGCATAGATTAAACAGTTTTTGGCACTCATTTCAAAATAAGGAAAGATTTCAAATTGGGACAAGTCCCGATATTGACAAGTGTCTTCCAACAACAGAACACTACGAAAACCAACAGATAATCATAAATGAGTATTGATTACTTCTTCTCTAAACCTGTCTCCAACATTAATTAGTTAAGGGCGCTTTTTGCTCGTATAGCTACTGTTATATGCAAAATTCTTACTAGCCATTCCAACTTCAAAGGGTGAAATTTTGCATTCATAGTCGACTTCGTTCTTCGCAATAGCTGCTACCCGTTCAATTTCATCAATGTACTCCTGTAGCAGCTGTCCAAGAATTTTTTCTAGAGCTACCTGAAAGTAAGGAGTAAGGCAGAGGGATGAAATAGCAGTAAAAACAAATTAATATTATTCTCATTTATTAACTAGAGAGAGAAAATTGGAATAGAAATGAAAGAAAAGTTGGAAAAATGTGATAACCACTATGGGATTAGTTTTTTCTTAATGAGATTTCATTACTGCTGAAATACCTGAATTTTATCAAAAAACAGGTAGAAACTTATTAATCAACTGTAATTAATTAAATTTTCAGGCAAAATGATTCTTATATTTTTTAAAGCAAGTGATAGAATTTTAAAAATTTGTTTAAAATATTTATAAAAATTCAAAATATTTGAGAAATTTTTGATGACTAACTTGAATAAGGTTAATGCACATTGATAGCAAGGCAAGTCCAATGAGGATTAGTAGAAAGTAACCGAGCATCATATCTTTATTACCTGGAACTATATCGCCCAAGCCAACCGTGCTGAAAAGTATTTTAATCAATCTTTAACTTCACTTCCGTGCAAAACTATTCAGTAACTGATACCAACCAATGAAAATTGATGAAGTGAAAGATCAAATTTAAAAAGTTCCCAAATTTTTTAAATATTAAAAATCAAATGAAAAAGTTTATATTGCGAACAATTCATGCCAAATACCTTATGGAGACGAAGAAAAAGTAGACTGAGGTGAGGTATCCCCATTCAGGCTCATACAAGCAAAATAAAGCTGCTGAAAAACCGATCCAGAGAATGAGCATTGCTAAAGCGATCGGAATCGAAAATGCATTTTCATGGGCACTAAAATATTGTGTAATAGTTTCCAATTTTTTTTCCAACTTTTTAAACTTTGAAGGTCAACAAAGCTAAATTAAAATTCTTACAATTTCCTGCTGCTTTGCTGCATTACAGTGGTAATTTCTGGATCTAAATCAACTTCTTTCACAGCTAATGAATGGTCACTTCCTGTTGTAGGTGGTAAATAGGTACGATTATACAATGTCTAAAAAGAATAACTTAATCTCTATTCCAATTAAAAAGCAAAAAAATGAAACAAAATTTTCTCAGTTAATAAAATTATATTACAAACGTAATTCTACAACCCACTATGAAGAACTTTATATAACTTCTATTTAAAGATCAGAAGGAATAAAGAGCTAACCTTCATGGTAATGCTTATTTTCCTCATACCTCCCACAAATTTTTTTCCTGTACTCCGTGATCGTTTGTAGAATTTACGGAAACTTCTAGAGAGTAGTCGACCAACATCTTTGAGAATAATTAAAAATATTGGGATGCCGAACATGATATAAAATATGCTGGCTATTTGACCAGCAAGAGTTTTCGCTACCGGTAAGCCATAGCCTAAAAATAAAGGACAGTAAAACAAGTAGAGAAAAAAATGAAAAAATAAAAGAGAGGGAAAGAATGAAATTCTTCATATGAAAATAAGTAAAAAAGTGATAGGACGAGTGAAAAGCTAAATATAGAAAGTGATCGGACCGGAAGGGAAACGATTTCATTACACAGCTCTTAACTGACGTCATCATTCTTCTATGACAGGATTAAAATGTAAAAGCAGTACGGATGGTTTTAATCATTCCTCTTCTTTCCGTATCCTCAACAGACTCCAAAATGGATGGATATGGATGTATACCGATTGTGGTGTACAGCTGTCCGGCATAGAACATCGAGCCGTACCATGACCAGGGACTAGTGGCGTTCCGCTCACGGATGATACCTGTCAAATTTGTGTAATCAAGGAACCAATTGACAGCTTCCTCCGCATATCTCACTTGTAAAGATTGGTCGTGTCTAATCACATTATCATCACATCGTAGTTCTAAGATTCGTTTTATTATCTGTAAATTCAAGCAGTTCATTTATTACTCATTTAACTTTCTTTTCAATTTTTAAATATTGAATAGCATGGAAAGCCTAATATAAAGTTGAAGAGACATATGCTTCTGACAAAAATACTAAACAACATCAACTTATCTTTCTCCATTTCAACTGTAAGGAATAGAAACTACTTTAACTGGCAGGAACATTAATCTTACCTGATTAAAAGCATAGTTGTAACTTCTACGGAACAATTCTCTTTCACGTAAATCAAGCTCCAATTCGAGCTTACGGAAAATAGCAGCTCCAATCAGTGTATATGAGATCAGTATAATAAATGGTAACAAATTGTTTAAATGGAAATTCCGGTAAGCCTGTTGTAAAAAATGAAATATTTTGCGCATTTCGCATTATCCATTGAAAACCCTTACGTAGTTCTGAAAGTTAGCATTTCATGAATAACGTTAGAATTACTCGAATAATAATAGTTACGACGTACTTTAATATCCTTAAATGTTACACTTTGATAATGAGATTATAGGATCAAAACAGCTCCCTTTTGCCAATGTTCACATATGTATAAGATTTGTTCGAAATGATTAAAGTAAATTATTGATTCCTATCACATCAGTAAATAAGTCAGAAATAGTGCGGAATAAAGCAGAAGTATTAATTAAGAAGTGAGATATCAATTAAAGATTTAAAACATTCTTGACTCTTGATTTCTAACCATGAAAAAGTAGATTCATTTACCAAAATTGGACTAATGAGAAAACCAAATGAAGTAGCTAACTGTATTTGAATTTTAAGCACTTTAATTTCTGCTGACACATATCATGTAGGGGACTGATAAATTTCAAATTTATCTATTCAAACATAAAAAATATTAAAATCTCGAAGAAAACCTCGAATTTTATGGCAATAAAGTAAACTTCAACTCCCGAATGCTCTGGCTATCAGTAATTGAAGTCTTAGCACTGATAAAACAAGTTTAAACAGAGGTTTTTAAATTATTTATACATTTTTCGCATAGCGTCAGGAAAGGGTTCTGCTAGAGAAAATAATTTATCATTCCGTAGCATTTTCAACGCATAGACATTGACTAAAGAAAATTTTAAGGTTTAAAGAAGAAAGATTTGAAAAAAGAGAAATGGTAAGACGATCAATTAAGCCAAAACGAATATTACTGAAATTGCTATGTGGTAGTAATAAATTCCTATTTTAAGCAAACTGAAACATAATACCTCCGGAAGCATTGTATTCTAAGAGCACCAGAAGAAAGAGACTGCATCAAACGAATTCATAAACTGGTTAGCAGTAATTAAATGAAGCTTTCAATATGCAAAGCAAAGAATTATTCTATGAAGGGAAATAATCATTTTTCATCAGGCTTTCTTATATCTATGATGATAATGGAGAAACAGAAAACTGCACTCCTTTCCTCTATTCATATCATATCAGCAATGATTATATTATCGAATTCTTCATAACGAAAAGTATAAGTTTATTTGAACAGAGAGATGACACAGAGAGTTCATGAACTGCTTATTAATTAAAGTATCCGAGCACGATAACATGTTGGAAATGTTTCTTTTTTTCTTCTTTTTTGTGAGAGGAGAAAGTATACTGCATCCTTAAGTGTATTTAATTAATTGTAATTAGTTTTTCGGGCAATGGATTTGCTGATTCGTAATTTATTGATCATCGAATTCTCACCAACATTACATATATATATATATATAGTAACAAAAGATAGGATATAATTTCTTGATATTATGATCTAACAAAAACGTATTTTTATACCGGTAAGGTTTAGAACTTTGAGTAGAATTTGAAAATATTATTTCAAAAACCCTCGTAATGAAATGTATATGACGAATTGTAATTGCATTTTATCTCATCCTAAATTAGCATTATATTTAAGCAGTATCTTTAAAATAAAATAGATTTTAAGATATCTTCTAATTCTGAAATAAAGTCATCATATTCAGCTGACATTTTCTGTAAGTAAGATCCAAGAATATTGCCTCAATCAAGAAATTTCATTCTTTATTCACTTCAGGTTCCTGGCCAATGCAATAGCTCATTCTTCGAGTACTCCCTCACATATAAATAAAACTATTGCATTCATCACTTTCTCCTCGCCAAACAAATCAGACATTTTTGATGTTTGCGAATGAATGCTTAATTCTATGTAATCAGATTTGCAGCTCACATAAAGATAAACGGCACTGAATTGCTATAATACATTCTTATGTTTGCTCTGTTTAACCAATCAGATTTAAACCACCAACAAATACTGCTCTTTTCATTCACTTGTATAGTCTAATTTCCCATAGCAAATAATGAACAAGATATTGTTTTTAATGATTAAATTATTAAGAACTTCAACATCAACTGATATATGGATTGAAATGAAAGCAGAAATTTGTGCATACTTCAAAATTAGTAAGTATTAATTTTATGATGACGACCGTTAAATATTATTTTTTTAATATCTAATTTAAATTTATAAGTCAAATTTTGTTTAAGGATTAGACACATCAGTTTAATGCATTTTAAAACACTTATTAATTTTGATATATATTAAATTTCAATATCCAGAAAACGGAAAATTAGTCCTCTCTCAGCCAATCAGATTTAAACTGTCAATAATAATTCTAATATATATCCTCTAAAATTAAGACTCATGCAATATATATGTATATAATACTTTTCATTTTGTTAAAAATTAATTTCTTACCAAAGTCAATATTCAATTAAAATCAGCGGCTTTAAATCATTAAAAGCTTTTTATGACATGATTGTGACAAGAAAACAGAAAGGACTCACATTGTTTATATGGGATTTACATTTAGAATATTCTGGCAAGCAAAGAAATTTTTTTTTTTAAAGTGATAAACACTAAGTACTAGCAAAATTAATTCGAAGCTGGGAATCAGTGAGAGCTGTATTAACTAATTTTTATTGTGTCGAGTGCTAATTTAGTAACAAAATATTTTATAAATCATTCTAGTCGCGTAAATGAAAATAGCGAAATCCAGAAACACTTCAAAACGAATGCCAGATGCACAGGTTTCCTTTGATTTTGCTCGAAAAACTCATCAATCCATAATATAACTTTTAATCTCATTTAATTTATGATTATTATTGATGAACTGCTGTTTTGCAATAATTTAAAAAAAAAAAAATTACAGAGAAAACGAACAAACGCTTTAAAATGATGGCAAATTTTGGCTTAAATATATACTGTGCTTAAGATTTGCATGATGATCTGTTGAAAAGCTTATTCTACTAATTTTGTTCTACAAAAAAAAAAAAAATGACAAATATTTTTAGTAAAAATGAATAAATGATAATACTGCAGTCTGTTAATTAATTTCGCTGAAATGAAATATGCATGCTGGAAACCAAATTCTCTATAATAATGTCAAAGTGAAAACAAATGGAAAGCAATGCGATAAGGAAAAAGAAAAAAAAAAACACTAACGGTTTTGAGAACATACCGCAAAAATGGAATTTTTCAAAAATTCTTTTTATTTTACTAAATTTTTTGTTAAAAAAAAAAAGGAAAACGCTTATTATTGGGAAATTTTTTATACTGATTGATAATAGTCTTCAGGAAATAAATGAAAATTTCTCTCTTCCAAAACGAATATCCAATTAATCTTTGATAAATGCACCTGTGTTGGAAAAAGTTTTTTAGTTTTAAATATTATAATAAAAATAAGACTGGCAATTTAAATTTATGATGAAAGGTATGCATATTTCAAGAATTCACGAAATGAAATATGTGAAATAGCTGCAATGATTGAGATAATTTCTAATTTAGTTGAATGAAAAAGACAAGAAACGAAGAAAAATGCTGACATAGATAATTTATAAATGTTCCTTATTTTTTTCTTTTTCTGATTATATTCGCTACGTAATTAAGCTAGCTGTCACAATTAGCAGAGAAAAGAATTAAAATTAAGCAGATGAGTGCCTTGGTAAGTGAACCACATAGTTTTAATGAAATGTAAATTGAAGCTTAGCATATTAACATTAAATTACTTTTTATGAAATGAAACTGTTACCTTCTTAACATATGATTAATATATGACTACCGCTTATCACTCTAATGGAAAAGGAGTCAAAAGAAATATTTTCCTGCTCAAAAACAAATATAAATTCATGTGCATTGAAGTTATTTCTACTGCAAAACCTAAAAAATCCACAAAAAAACTTGAAGATTACAATATGCCACGGTGAAATCACACCATATCTTATCTTGCTGACCCATTTTTTATTGAAATACATTACCTGAGAACAATCATAATAGAACGCCACGGAAATGGAAGAAATATTCATTTGATTTTTAATTTTCAGTAAACAATAAATTCAATGGTATTTTTTATCATCATGAAATTTGTATGACATTTTAAATAAAAAATTTTGCTGTAAATTACGTTTATGTCTAATAAGCTTAAAACTGAGTAGACATTAATGCTACTTATACTGTCAACAAAAGGTTATTCCAGTTGAACGGTGGAAATTTGTTGAAAATATGTATGTGCAATTTTTTCACCAATCTCTATTACTTAGAATCAGGTAATAGGGAAAATTTTCAATTATGTTTATATCATTTTGAAGATTTTAAAGCAACAAATTCAATTAGTGGTCAAACGCAGAAGAACAGTCGTTGCTGAAATCTTTTTATATGAGTAATGAATTAGCTCGGATAAAATGGCTAAGATATGATTCATCCTTCACTACCAAGTTTTTAAGGAAAACGTTGTTTATATGCCGGTTCTGCAAAAATTAGTTTACAACTATTAGATCTATAAATTACAATAAAGCAACAAATTTGAAAGCAGCTAAAGCCTCTTAAACATTGTGTAATGGAGGTAATGAAAGCCTCTTAAACAAGCCTTTTTCAAATTTTTCAAAACAAATAAAAGAAAAAAATTATAAACTTCATTTAGTGAATAAATGAGGAATATAAAATATATGAAAAAGAAAAAGGGAAGTGTTCAAAATTTGGAAAAGAATGCAAATAAACAACAATAATTATGAAGTTAAAGTGATGATGTAAATAGAGGCAACTGGAAATTTTCGAATGTCTCATCAAACTCAGCTCTATCGAAGCAAGAAAAAAAGAATTGATGGATTATACCTGATAAAACTCAGCACTGCATTAGTACTGCAATCAGAAATGTGTTTCAAGAAAGCCAACCTCACTCTGTGTTTTTCAGAGCGTACCAGAAAAACCAAGCGGAGCTTATTTCAAATGTCAATTTTTTATATAGCTATACGAATGACTTCATATGCATTTAAAGAAGTGATATTCACAATATTCTGAAATGACTGTTAATTAGCATGGCCGCATTTTTTGCTACCATCTCTTCAGGGTTTATTTTTTTCTTTCGGCTTATTTCTTTTTCATGGTTCTCCAACGGTCCTTAAACATCTCCACATCAGAGACTGGAATCGAAGGTGATATAGCTATTGACAATTCCAGGTGCTCTCATTGTCATTGTGGAATGTTTGGTTTACCCATCCTTTTATTTTTGAATTTCTGTCAATCTCAAAGAAATACTTCACCAGTGCCCATTTTAACAAGTTGAAACTGACCAGTCGAAAAGCAGTTATAAATTGGAAATGTGCATATCATAGTTTCAGTATTTGGAAATATTGATAATTTGGTAATAAGAAAGCAAGAAAACAGAAAGCCAATGATATTGTGCATTTAGAAAGTGTGAATCTTATCGAAGACAAAATTTGGATTATTTTTAAAAACTTCTTTAGTTTCTGTTTAGTAGAAATTTTTGTTATACTGTTCAGAAACTCATGAAAACCAAATCACTTCTGTTCCTATTGTTCGCATTTTGCGGAAGATTCGAGGGGAAGTCTAAGAGATACAGGTGCGGCAATTAAATGTGAGAGAATACGAGTTGTGAGAATTGGTGGAAAAATAATATATATATATATATATATATATATATATATATATACTTCATAAAAAAATCTATAAAACTGTTTTCCTATGCGGATTTGTATTCGCACAGCAACGCTGTCTGATTAATTTCATATCACAAACTGCTTGGCATTCTCATATTCAAACACACCTATCAGTAAATTAATTCAAAAAATAACACCTCGTAGAAAAAACTGTCAAGTTCACTAATGAAGGTAACAGTAATTATTCAAGCTTACATAGAACTCAACGCTTTACCGTAGAGGACATCACAAAAAAATTAATTGCGCCAATTACATATATTCACTATTTGTACTGAAATGTCCGTTTTCCTTGCAGACACATTAGTACCCCAATATAATGATTTACTAGTTACATCTCATTTGATACAGGTAATATATCCTTATTAAATGACAAAAGACCCACAAATAAAGCAATCAACAGCACTACTGTAAAAACGAACTTCATTGCTAATAACATACATACAAATATAGTTAATTTTCCATTATGTTTCAATTCAGGAAATTATAGAGTAGTTAAGATGCTAATAACCACTCATTAGGATAATAATCACTTAACTGTCTCAATATCCAGTTTGATGAAGCAAAAAAAGGAATCTTTTATGGAAATGGCGAGAGGAAAAACATCATAAACAACTCCTCACTGAATCTCTTATTCTATTGTTTTCTCCTACCACCAGTTGCGTATTCCGTATCTAAAATGAAAGCAAAAAGAGAAAATATGAAGCATTTTGTTATTATGACAAGCTAACAACAAATTATTCAAAAAAAACCGAACAAAATCTTATAACACAAATAAACACATCCAGAAAATAAGAAAAATGATCTGAAAACAAGTAAAAGCAAAAACAAAAAACAAAAACAAAAAAAAACAAAGACAACAAAAGCAAAATTACAATATATTAATATATATATATATATATATATATATATGAGTTGGCGTGATTTTTATACGTTTATTTTTAACTTTTCTGCCACGTCGGAATGAATAAGCAATATTAGCTTCACTATTAAAGGAATCTCTCAATAACTACCGACTATCTTAATACTAACCACTGATTGACCTTGACACTATAGAATTGGTTTTAGAGTTTGGGGCACCCGGAACTTTCAAAATAAATTCACTATATAAATAAATTCAAGAACCACCAAACAGAAGAATTGATCGTTACATAAATACCAACTTCTGAAACTTATATACTTTCACAAGGATTTCATTTAAAAGTTTTCGTATCACTATGAGTTTTTTAAATCTTTTCAAGATTTTGGTAAATCTATGTCAGCTTGATATTCACTGCACCTTTTAAACATTTAAATGGAAATTTGTCGCAGTGCTATTTCATTTATTTCAAATTAAAGTTCCGAGTGCGCCTCGCCCTATATGACCAACTGATGGTATCTCGCAACAAATACTCTCAAGATAGAATTCAAATTATCAATAGTTTCATAATGTAAAACATCAGCATTATCGGATGCTTTGTGCCATACATCCGGGAATGGCAGAGGTATGAGATGTAAAATAGGTACATTCAGATTTAGAAATGGTACGTGATCGTCTTCTATTGTACTATAAATTGTTCGAGATTGGAATATTGGTTGTAATGGATGCAAACAACCAGTTTTCTTCAGCTCCATTTCTAAAAAGCATACAAGAGCACAGAACTCTGTAAAGTAACTTGGTATAATAGATGACTGCAACCATAGCAGAAAGTCACTGCAATAATGACGAAGTACTATAACAAAAATACCATAAGCATTTGCTTTATAAAAGTAAAGTTAATCTTATAAGGAAGCAATAACACTAGAAGTGATACATCAAAATGTGGTACAGAACAAAAAAGTTCAATTAATAATGTATTATTACATTCTGCAACATTACCATTTAAAAAACTGCAAGCAAGACATCCTAAAAATTCAAACAAAGCACCAACCAATTTTCATCATCTCCAAGAACGCATTTTTGGATGAGAACCCATGAAAGTAGTGCAAAAGTGGATTTGGTGCACCAAGTAGATCGAGTAGGATAAATAAATCCTGGAAACAGTAACACATTTCGCCGTTAGATTTTTAATCTGGTTCTTATGACGCTCCATGTAATTTATGGGAGTTTGTTAATTAAATAGAATAAATTAATCTAGTTCTTATCAAAGTTCTAAATCAATACCAGTAATCTTGAAGTCTTCATAAAATAATATTTCAATCTAAATTTTTTTTACTTTAATCATTTATTTGTTAGATGTTAACAGTTGAATTTTATGTACCAAAAATGTGTCAAAAATAATGCGCTAAAAATTATTCTTTTCTGATTACAAAACCTAATCAACAAAAAATTGACAATCACCATTATGCACTACTTTTATATTTTTTACATTGATTTCTTTGTTATAGACTTTTCCACCAATAGAACAAGAAAATAAGTGAACAAAGAGCAGAATCAGAAATTTGATTTTTAAGCAAAAATTTTATGGAAAACCATGTGATTAAGCAGAAACTTAACAATGTATCGTAAACAGCATTGTAAAATAATGAAATTTTACAAAAAAATTAAAGTGGGACTTGAAAAAGAGGCATTCATGCTGATAAAACTACTTCAACTTCAAGAATAACAGTGGCTGGATTATGATTCACTTTTAAAAAAAAAAAACGAAATTAAGTCATAAAAGGTAAAGTAAACATTAAATAAGGATATGAATTTGTGTAACAAAAAAATGAACAAAGACAAAAAATTAAATGGTGATAAAAGCAAAAAACTCACAATTCGATCAATTTCTTTTTTAAATTCGAAAGACGATTGAGAAGTGTTCATGAAATATTCTCGATTCCATTTTGAAGCTAAATGACGAGAACCATACAATGAATCCATTTCTGACCACTCATGAAACGCTTCCTCACCATCGAAAAAGATCAATTGAAGAGTTAGATCCTACAAAAAATAAATAAGTAAATGAATAAATAAAAATAAGATAAATAAACACATATTTATCTACCTATTTAATTTATTTGCCTATTTATTTGTTTAATTAATTAATTTATATGTATTTACTTATTTGGTACATATTACATTATATATACAAACATACGATTTGTGCACCAGTTCGGGAAATTTCTATATGGCTAACATCAAATTCCGCTTGAACAGGATTTCCATCAAAACAGACTTACTCTTCTTCTACGATTATGCAAGTATGGACCAAGTGTGCGTGCCATTTCGAGCAGCATCGCACAAGGCACCGCAGAATCAGTTGCACCAATAAAAATTTTTCTGTAATAATTATTGGTAATTTATCCGCAGGTTATGTCCCTATTATGATTGATGAATATATATCACATTAAACAAACAAAAATATGCGTTCGCTATGTATCTACATCACACTAATTCCTCTAAAAAAATCAGAGTAGTTATAAGTGGTGTTAATAATGGCGGATAAAAACAATGAAACATTGTTTAAACTTCAAAAATTGAACAGATTACCCTTCCAGCACTTTTGAATCATAATGGCATGCAAGCACAAGTCGTCTAGGGACGCTGGGATCATGCGTAGCAATTAATGTTTTGAATGACTTCATGCCGAGGGGAGTGGCTTCATCGAATAAATCCCATTCAATCGTAAAGCCTAAAGCTGACAATGTCCTTGACAAATGCTGAAAAAATTTATGGCCGTTAAGTGTAAATAGATCAAAAATGTAACTCCTCTCTACTAAATATTAGACATACCTCACTTTTAATCACTTTAATGTCTCTAAAAATTATCAGAGACAAAAATTATAACAAAACTAGTATTTGATAAATAACGTTAAGTGATAAAAATGTATTTTCAATTAAAAGAAGCACTAAAAGTAACAAAGTGAAACAAAGTAGAAAAGTAGTCTTATTCGCCCTAATATAATTAACTGCATTTGAAAGTCGCATAGTGCCATCAATCGCCAAATGTTCAACAGGTATGGTATACGCTGCAGAAGTTGCAAACGGAACGAAAAAGCGCTGCTGTGTCATATGATTTAAATAAATAATATGTCAAACGAAGGAATATTTAAGATAAAGGGGTAAATATGGGCACTTCATGTCTTTTTCGGTTATATCTGATAAGTTATCACTTCTGGAGATGAAATAATTACATGACGGAAATTCTTCAGATGTCTGAAGAATAATTACTGAAAATCATACCTCAGCAACTTCTTTGTGAGATTGTGTGCCAACAATTCGTGGGACAAGAATTGGTTCAAGAAGTTCTCGAAACTTTTGCCGATCGTTCATAAGGCAGAACTTTTCTAATGAACTCCTAGACCACTGAAATCCCTGTTTGTCAGCGGCACTCGCTAAGTTATCTATTTGCTGAAATAAATTAAGCATTCGCATAAAAACCGAATTCATGAGAATTTCTTGCTTTAAAAAAATGCACCCGGAAAAAGGTGCATTTTTACATTTGATCGCGGAGATAACAACTCCATTGCTAATTTTACTTAAAAGTTAATCAAAGTTTTTTACATAAAATCACATTTCAAGTTTCAAACTACTTTGATCGCAATTTTTCCTTCTTTCCACTTAAACTTAGGCTTTGATTTATAAAAAATAACCCGAGATTGCCGCCATTGTGCTCGTACAGCACGTTGGTTCAGAATGAAATAAAGCAAGAAAGCAACTTTCGGGAAGTAAAGTGAAATGAATGTCATTCCTGTTTCCACGAAGAGATAAGAAATCAAAAAGCAATGAATGAAGCGCAGATCCAGAAAAAATTGACGAGAGCAAAGGCACTGTTTCTAAATCAAAGCTAGTCGTGTTTGTTTGCTCTTGCTGTCGACTGTAATCTTGAAGCCTTAAAATTCCAAAAATTTCATTCAAAAAAGATAATTTTTTTTTCACAATATAAACAGTTTGAAAAGAGAAACTATCTACTTACCAATTCTTTCTATTGAATTCTCTATTAAATTTGAATGAAAACGACATCTGATAAAATAGAACAAACAAAGAAGCAAAGAAATTTTGATAAAATAGAACAAACAAAGAAAAAAATTTCTGATATAAGAAAACAAAAAAGAGTTGAAGTAAATAAAGCAAGCAAGTTTGTCAAATGTCTAAATGACAACACAAAATAAATTATTTGTGACCACAGGAAAACTGACAATACTAATATTTCACTCATATTTCGACGGTAATAAACAAATCAGTTGATAACACCAAAGAAAAAGACTTACAGTTATAAGAAAATTTCTGCAATGTTTTGAAGAGAATAAATACGAACGAATTTTTGGAAAAAAGTTTAGAGAAAAATGGAGCATTTACCGGTACAGGAGAATAAAACAAGGGACAATAAAAAAAGAGAAAAAATGTGTGCAGCAAAAAAAAAAACGATCGATAAAAACACTAAAAAAACTCTGCATCCATCCAAAAGCGATTGGTATTAAATTATTGTCACCTGACATACACTGTGACTTAGTTGAAGAACTAATGTCATTAAAAAAGTCACCTCAAATACAAGATATGGATGATGACAAGAAAATTTATGAGTTGTGCGGAGAGCCGGTTGTAATTTCTTGGGAAATTTATGATTATGTGTGTCTCACGACAATCACAATCAACATTAGGTAATAACATAAGTTATACAAATTGGCTTAATATTCCTTCAGATACCTTTGAAGGTTCTCTTAAAAAGATTTCTGGTTAATGCCACTTTATTCATACGACAACAAATTTATCATTTTACCTCTATTTTACGTATTCTCATTTTTATGCCTAACTAATGGATAGTAGGGTCAAGCCTGAAAATTAAATCAGATGGATAAAAAATGAAAACAAAAAGAACTACGGTGGACTTCTTAATGACTTGCAACTATTGACGGTTAACTCCCTACAAGAGAAATAAGACAATTAACAAAAACAAGTGAGCTTTAGAAAATAAAGCAAATGAAATAATCAGAATTTAACAAAAGATTCGAGAAATCGGAAATTGTGCCTATACTTTCATCCCTCCACTTTATTTTCTAATTTACTTCATGGTCGTGGTTTGTTTTTGGTGATTGCTTCGATGTCTTAGCCCAAGTTTTATAAAGTCTAAACTGAAGTCAACAATTTAAGCGGACCTTCCGCTCAGAATTCGTCCTTTCCCATAAATTGCTTGAGATGAAAAAACTGAAGTGGAGGACTCATGCATCCGTTTTCGATGATCACTGATCATATACAGGTAGAGTGAACAATTCGAGAAGTGACTGGGGTATCAGAGAGATCAATGTGAGATCGGCAGCATAGTCTAAAACTTTCTCTAAGTAAAAATCGTAAAGCAATAGCTTCCACATGATTGCAAATTTGATGTCATTTATATATTGCTGCAGAAAACCGAGAATAATATGTCAATAAGCAAATAAATCCCCAAGTTTTTTTACTCATATTGCTTATAGATTCAAGGCATAAAAGAGAAACAGCATATCAAAAACGACTTTAATTAGATTGCGTTTTTGCCATATGAAAGGTAAGAACAAGGGCAGTAATAGACCAAGACAAATACCATTCAGAAGGAAAAAAAGCTAACAATGAAAGAGATTTTCATTAACAAGAAAAGTTTCGAAAAACTTCGACACGAGTCGAATATCCACATTATGTTCAGACATTCTCCCTTGATTTCCCGTAAATTTTAAAACTCGTCAACTTCCATTGGAAAGAGATGATAAACATGTGCCAGAAAACGCAGATAAAGGCATTAACTAATGAATGAGTAGTGATTAACATTATAAAAACAAAAATATTTAAACACTATAGGAAAAACAGCAACAAGTCAGTTCACAACAACAGTAAAAAGTATTTTCAACGCAAATGCATAAGTCATTCGTGCCGACGAAAACCGAATAATCGACCCTGATATTTCTTCACCGATGCAACAAATGCCTCCTTTTCGGACTCAATTTGATGCAACTTCTTTTCCTGTAATTCAAATTTCAAATAATTTTTTTCCCTGTTACAAAAAAAAAAGAAAATATATGCCGAAAAACATTTCTGTTGTCGTCAAAATTAAGAATTCCTTCGAAATCAAAACTTAAACCAAACTTAAAAAAAGAAAAGTATTCCAAAAATGCTAACTAATTCAGCAACTCTCGTTGCTCTTTCTCTGAATTCTTTGAGCGGATCATCAAATTGACTATAATATTGAAGAGTAGGCCTCACGTCATCAACGTCTGACAAGTGTATTGCTGGAAGAAAAGAAATTTTATAAATATTATTTCTGACCTGACTTCATGAGACAGTTTTATTCAGAATAAGAACTAATAAAAACGAAATGAATTACTTTTGAGTAGTTCAGCAAGATCGACAAGTGCTGTGTCATCAAGAGTGCCGTTCCATTTGGGCAACCGTAACACATTTTCTGGGTTAAATCGAAATGATTCCGGATCAAAATCAATGTAGATGACTTTTGACAAATCTCTATTCAGCTTAGAAAGATCCTAAAATATTAAAAGTAACGAAAAATACAAAGACTGTTAGTTGGATGGAAATTGTGGCTGGACTGACCTTAACATAAACGCCATTCATGTACTTACAGCAATCACGATACAGTTTGTACATGATTTTCTGTTTACTATCTAAAGCTTCAACTATTGGATTTGCGTTCAATGCAGTCTCTGATGTATAAATCACGACTTCAAAGTTTGGATACCCAATTACGTCCAACAGATAATCTACTGCAGGACGCTTTTTGACTCGATTTCCCATTTTGTACTGAAAATTATTCTATTTAAAATAAGATTTGTATAAGAACTGGCAGATGTTTGCTATATGTTACTGTTACTCAGCTATTCAACTTTTTACTTTTAAAGTGCCGTTCTTTTCATTTATTACGAAATAATGTCAAAGACTAACACTCCATTCTGGTGCCACCAAAACATTTTTTAGTTCAATAACAATGGTATACTTAGGTTGCCAATATGGTGGTTTCAACGGATCCGGAAGAAGTTTATCTCTGGATGGTTCTACCACGAACTGCAAAAAATTCTATTTGAGCAAATAGTGCGAGCTACTGTACATAGGAACACGTAGATAGCAACTTCCACTTAATAAGAAAAGAGGAGTAGGAGTGAATAACAACAATCCATTCAATCCATATATACCGTTTCTCACCACTGATAAAGTACAACCGTATGTTAATTCAAGAATGAAACTTAGAATTGAAAGAAGCAAAACTTACATTTCTCCATGACCTACAAGCTTCTTTGATACGATAATAGGGAGCTAATATACCCGTATATGTACTGTTTTCATCTATTTTCATCCATCCTATAATTTTTCAAGATTCGATATAAATTAACGAACTAAAAGGACGTTTAATTTTTTTTTTTTTTTGTTTATTATATGATCCGCACTGAAGTCATCTACTAAATGAATGCATAGAAACACTACTTAATAATACACTAGTTATTCGCATTTTACATGCACCAATCATTTTAAGTAAAACTGCCTGCTATTACAAGTTTTTATAATCCTGAAACTGCAATTGGAGTCATTACCGTAATACAAACAGAAGTATAGAAGTCCACAAAATGTGCTACCCGCAACGAAAAACATAGCAAGTACTGTACTCCTCTTCCTCTTCTGCGTATTCTGATCTTCCTTTGGAGCAGTTTTATCAACCTACGACAATATAAATTACTCAGCGATTTATTGCGCTGATCACATATATCTGGAACAAGCGACTAAACTCAAAGAAGATGAAATTTACCGGTAACCCACATCTGTTCATTAATATTTCCCACTTAGTGACAATTATATTCGGTCTCACATTTATTTTGGGAAGAGCTGACGTTTCATTGTTGCCTTGCACATCCTGTAATCAACAAAAATGTCTCAATCCTCTTTAAGAAAAATACAAAGTATCATGAATAAATCACCAACATTTAACACTAGAATCCAAGCTGTCTATAACTTACTTCACTCATCTTGTATACTTTCTTCTCACCGCCTTTCTCGACAAATTCTCCACTGCTGCTACCTATATCTTTCACATCGTGAAGCATACGAGAATTTCCCTTGCTAGCCTTAAAACATTTGAAGCATTTCAAACAAAAGAAAAAAAAAAACATTATTAGCTCAATGCAGTCAAAAATAACCAACCAGTGGATATCTGAGCGACCATGCTATCAAGACAGCACGAGTATTCCCAAATGATGATTCTGTAGTAAGAGTGATTCGGCGGAAAGGGCAAAAAGTTTGATGGCCTACTATCCTGTTTATACATCGATGAGACGTACGAAGGATACTAACTGGAGAGATAAACATCAATTGACTGATTTCTTCATTGAATCGAATCACTACTACCAATTTTGTCGCTGAAAGATGCACTTCATCAGGACTGCTTAGCCTATCAGTTATCTATCGCAATTCAAGCATCGACCCGCTGGGCGTTATTGTGAGTGGACGATGAGTCAGAGTGGTTGGCAGGTGTTGGCACGTGTGGCGACATTACATGAAGACTTTTTTGTGAAGTGGTGCTGATGTGATTGGAACACTTGACAAGTCGTGCAGTTAATACACTCTTGGGTATATGTCTATTTCAGGTGTGCTCATTTGTTTATATAATACCCAGGCTAGTTACTGTGCTCCGCACAATTACATATGTCATCTTCAGCGTTAAGCAGTGGATGTAGAACATTTCTATTTCGTTCCCGCCTTCCGCAAACAGATCTAAGCAGTCCTTACGCCGATCCGACACGTACAAAGGTGAATTACTGTCAGTAACTGAAGATTTAGACCAGTATAAAATTTTTTTTCACTGTATTTAAGAAAAGTGATGTGAAATTATTTTTTCTTAGGAATAACAAATCATGAGCTTATTTTGAATCATCTCATATCTCTCGGCATATCTTTACCCGCTAATGCAATAAAATTTTCGAAGAGAATTTGAAGAATTATCTATAGTTTTTGTCATTTTAATTAGTGAATTTCAAAACTTTTTGAATCAACACTACGGGTCTGACTTACTTTTAGAAGTTAAAATTTCTCAAAAACAACATTTTTACTGCTGCTTGTAGTGGCAGAAAGTGGTGGAAATACTTTTGAATTTGTGTATTTCAACATTTATTCCTTATATTGGATAAGATCATGCTTTGCTACTTTTCAGTAACAAAAAAACTGCTAAATCTTTGAAAGGTATGTGTTATGTAAATTTTATAAATTTTTGTAGGTAAAAATCCAGGACGACGTTTTTGTCGTAGTAAAAGGTCCTGTAGAAAATACTGTTCCGCATTTATCAAATCCATCAATTGGATCGCTCACATTTATCAAATCCATCAATTGGATCGCTCAATTGGGTACATTTACTAAGAAATTCTCCTTTTGGCGTTAATTCCAAAGAACCGGTTATATGACAGATGCAGTTGAAGCTTCAAATTGTAATGATAATGTGTATATGTATTGATTGATTTTGAATATTTATTTTCTGATATGTATAAAGACTTATTTTAGAAATTTTCTTCTACATAAAAAATCATTCAATAGGCGTGATTGTTTCTAAGAAAAATATATCATCTAGAATGAGCAGCTTTTTATTTCTTTGTGCTTCCTCCTAGAATCTTATGTTTTATGCAGTGAACTTTATTACAACATACTACTATGCGATAGCCATAACTCTTTTGCTTTTCTGAAACGAGAATAATAAATTGTAATGTCTTTTTGTGTATTAAAATCTTTCCACCAGTAGTGCATTTAGGTGCTTATCACCAATTTGATGCTGACCAGTACTGAAAAATAAATTCTAGTCCGATTCATACGGAATTTTATAACAGGAACTATCGAGGTAAAGGATTTTAAAGTCAGGTATGTTTGAAGCATTTCTGTAGAGTCAGAATGCAGCTGACCTCTAAAGTGAAAAATGCTTCAACAACTTTTTTTTTTGCTAACACAGTAGGATTAGTCGGAATGGAATATGCAAATTACCTCACCAAGAATGCAGGAGACTCCAAATAGAAGGTGAAACTGTCATTGTTAGGGTTGGCTCAGCGTAGGGAACTTCATGACAAAATTTTCATAAAAATGTAATAACTTACGTAAACCTTACGATTTACATAGCAGTTCGGGTCTGTGCTCATTAGAAGTTTTGCAAAGTCGAATAATGATGAATTAACTAAGCCGACTTGCATACAATATGGGTTAAGAGTGTAAGTAGCAGGTATTTATGATTCAACTTCAAAGTAACACAAAGTTCGTCTAAAATTTTTAGTTCGAAAACTAAAAATGTCGGAAATTAATATTAACGATTTAATCTTACGACTGTTGAACGTTGGACAGCCAGCTAAAGGTCTCACGAAAACTGTTCGTGAGCCTGAAATCGCATCACTTTGCCGTAAGTTCTTTTTAAATGCTAGGTCAGTATGGTATCCTTAATAGGGTTTTCGGATTACGTGGTATCCTCAGTTAGGTTTTCAACTTGGAATATATGAATCAGACTTTACATAGGGTAGCCGACATTAGGAAGGGTCAACTTTCGTATGGAAATGCAAACTCTAAATCCTGATGGAAAAACTAATCTAATGAATTATGCATGGATTTTGAGATGAAACGAAAGAGAAGAGCAGTTTTGCTGTTTTCATTAACAGTTAGATTTTCGTTTCTTAGCTAAGAAACCAGATTTTGAATATTGTTAGTGACATTGCTGATGTGTCAGCCATTAGGATAAGACCTTCTCAAATTCAACAAATTCCACAATATCCCTAAATTTAGGTAAAGCTCGCGACATTTTCATAGCACAACCATCGTTAATAGAAATCGATCCACCGGTTCGTATTTGTGGTGATACGCACGGTCAGTACGGCGACTTATTACGAATATTCGGTCGTGGCGGTTTTCCTCCCCTTGCCAATTACTTATTCTTAGGGGATTACATAGATCGTGGACATCAAAATCTCGAAACTATCATATTACTATTTTGTTACAAAGTTTGTATCATTTGTCATCAGAAATGTTTCGGTTTTGCTAAAATTCATTCATGAAAGTAATCTTCAAAAAGTCGTGCGAAACATAAGTAAGTATTTAATTAAAGCAGTTAGGAAGTGCAGTGTTTAAATAATTTTAACCAATTTATTTGCAATACTTGAAACTTCATATTAAAATAATTATTTAAATGAGCTATCAACTCTCGCGATATATTGTGGCAATGCTGAAAGTTGAAAATTTTCACGTAGGTGAAATTTCCAAATAACTTCTTTCTACTCCGTGGGAACCATGAATGTGCAAATGTTAATCGCGTATATGGCTTTTATGAAGAATGTATACGTCGTTTTAATTCAGTTCACCTATGGCAAATATTTCAGGTTCAAGAATTTATCAAATTTCTTTTTAGAATTTCTTTTCTCAAATTATTTTTCAACCATATTGAAATGGATTTTTCTAGGTTTAAAAAAACTTTCATATGAGAACTGGACAGAACCAATCAATATTTAATTTTAAATAATATCGAAAGAATTAAAAAATATACCCGTCAGTTATGAGTTACTTCAACTTGCAAAATCAGAAATATGGGATGAATGATACATTTAAACAGTTTCGATTTTCAAAACGGCTGAGTTTGCAGGACACGTTTCAATGTATGCCATTAACGGCATTGGTTGGTGAACGTATACTGTGCATGCACGGTGGTATATCGCCGCAGTTGAAAAGCCTTCAGCAGTTGCGAGAAATTAAAAGACCGGTCGATATCACAAGTCCATCACTGGAAATGGATTTACTGTGGGCAGATCCGGTAATAGGTATTAGCGGATTTCAAATGAATATGCGAGGGGCTTCTTTTGGATTTGGAGCTGATATTTTGGCTGCACTGTGTAAAGAATTAAATATTGATATGGTAAGAAAATTCCTTTTCATTTTTCGCAAAACCAATAATAAGACTGGAAAACAGATGAAATAATGATTTAGAGCTGTGCTTTAATATAATTTTTTTTTGGCTAGAAAATTTCATGAAGTTTTGTACAGGTAGCTCGTGCTCATCAAGTAGTGCAAGATGGATATGAATTTTTTGGAGGCCGTAAATGTGTCACGATATTTTCCGCACCTCATTACTGTGGGCAGTTTGACAATGCGGCAGCTGTAATGTCCGTGGACCAAAATCTTTTGTGCTCATTCCAGATTTTAAGGCCAACCATAGGCCGAGCTACTGCCAGAATTATACCAACTTCCATGGGCAAATGTTGATTATCTTGCTTTTCTTATGTACTAGTAAAGAGTAATAAAAGACATTGAATGTCAGTTGTTGATGTTTCTTTCAAAAAAGAAAAAAATTCCCTTGAAAATTGGATTGCATTTGGTGTCAGTTGAAATAAAATGATTCACTGACCAACCGATGTCTTACCAAATTTGACTAATTTAGAGATCTCAAAGTCAATTTCGATTATGTAATTTCTTAAAATCATATTAAATTTGAATTACTGAATGTTAATTTACTTGAAGAACGATTCACAATTTTTCTATCTGTTACTCTAATTTACATAAAAGCAAACTTTTTAATATTTCAATTATCGAACAGATAAATGTGGTTGAAATGACATTGATATCATTTATTACTTGAGTGACGGATTCGTGTGACGACGATACGTGCTGAAGATCTTATTTGCGAATGTATTTAAACTTCATTAAAACAATAACGCTCGTGCTAATAATCATTTCTGAGGTGTTCTTTTGGGGCACTGTTCTTTGATTTACAAATATTTTGATTGAAAAATTACTGACTATGACCATGACCAATTAAACTTCGTAATTTCTTTCATTGAATTGTGGGATTGATGGAAATATTAGTGCTGTCATTGTTTGATATCTTGCGGTTCATAGCTCAATGCTAGCAATCAGGCTATTAGAAGCTTTGAAAGAAATACAACAATACTAATATTTAGTACGGATAAGTGACAACGATTGTATTGCTTTTAGGAAAGATTTTGGAAAAATGGGGAATCACTTGTCGAAAATTTTGTGGATGGAATGTATCTTTCCATATTCATCGATAATTTTGTAGGAGCAACGGAAATTGTTGAGAATTATGAGCTACCAGCACACTCTAACTTACATCAAAGAAAATTGATAAAACGTTCCAGAAGACAACTTGTTGAAGCAGAAATAAAGTAAGCCACGCTACTAACGTACGAAATTTTTAGACCAAACTCTCTGTGAAAAATAGAGTTTAGCGTACTTCAGATCATATGCTACAATTCTGATAACATCAGCAGTAATAGTGGCATTGGCATCATTTGTTTGTCTGATCATTATGTTACATATCTTTATATATATGAGATGGGGTATCACTCGTCAGCTCATTCTTCTCAATACCAAGGTTTATTTTTGTTTCCTGTAGCTGTAACTACAGTTTTTTTCTTATCAATTACTCATCATACAATTCAGAGTAGAATACTAGCATGGCGGTGAGAGTACTTTCCTAAGAATGTTTTGGGGTATTAAAGGTTTGTGCGCTCGAGTCGCGTCTTGGAACACGTCAACTGTCGGAAGAATTACAGAGGAAATTGTGTGAAGAAATTGGTGTCGCATTTGGAACAGTTCAAAATGAACGACAGAAATTTGTTCAAGAAGTTGTTAATGGTACTTCTAAGTTATTAAGGATACCGTTATGCGCTTTTACTTCTACAAATATACCTTCATTTTTTTATGATTTCTTAAATATAAAATCTAGATGAATACACTTTACTGAATCATTTTTTAATTTCTAAATTTTAATTTTGTCTTGATACATTGACTTGAATTACTAGTGCCAGATGAAAACACTCCAAAATCTTTAGTAACAAATTCCTTAGAATACAGTTATTGTTTTTTGTAAGTTCTTCCGTTTGCTCTTAAATAAGTCTTATAGTAGTTTTGTTACTAAATGTTACTGACCTTATTTGAGAAAAAAAAAAAAAACTTGCTTATCTTTTGTAACTACTTTACTGAATCAACTAATTTTTTTAATTTCTGTGTAACTACTTAATGTCATAACATTAAATATTAGTTCTCAAGTAATGAAGTGATTGAACATTTGATTTCATCAAATTTTGCAGAAGAAAGAAAAATGGTCGAAGAAGTGGTAAAATCAGAAAGTGAACCACAATATGAAACAATGTGCGGGATAGGCGATGAAGTTTTTACCACCAAAAAAGGCGGCGGTATATGTTTCTATTTTTAAGAACTTTTGATGAAAAATTTTTAGTGATCCATAAGACAGCAAAAAAATCGAAACTGTATATAATATGGTATGGTATTTTTTACAGAAAAGAATACCCTTAGACCAGCTCTAGTCCCGTCTTCCGAAAAGCCAGATGAAGGTAATTGATTTCCTGGATGCTTTTTAAAGACATATTTCTTTGAAATGGATTTACAGTCTGAAACAAATTACCAGTATAATTTCCTAAATTCTATAAGATTTGCAGATAATCATTATGAGAACGTACCAAAAGGTAAGCTTCTTTATTCATTATATTCAATATTCTGGGTGAAAAACATAATCAAATTTCCTGTCTTCTATTTCATCTTGTGCTGCAATTCAAAAATAATTAGCTGAATATGTTAAGAAATGCATCTTTATTTTACAATTCTTTGTCATTTATACCGTGCGATGGAATTTATAGAAAACGGAGACATATCCAGTCTTTCTCTTAATTGATTGGTAGTTTTGATTTAGATTAGTCATTATAAGCGACAGGCCACAGTACCCAGTGACAATATTTTTCTGTAAACTTATACTAATCCCCAAAATGTGTTTTAGATTCATGGAATTAGGAATTTATAAGAAAATTATGAACATTAAAGTTGTAGAGTCAAATTTGCAAATAATTCTAACATTCTGAATAACATGCAATAACTTTTCAGCAAATAAAAAAGCACCACAAAAAACTTCAAAAAGTGAGCTGTTTCTTTATTCTGTTAACAGTTGCTTAAAATTTTGGTCTAATTTTCATTAAAAAAAAGGGAAAAAGAAATTTAACGAAATTTTAAAATGACAACTGAAATTTTATTACTGTATTATACAAAGCAATTATAGGATCAGCAATTGCACCAACACAACAGATTAAAGGCTAGCTCATTATTAATGCTGCATATATATTGAAAAATGAAATTCGTTGAAAGGAATATTTTAGTATTCTTATCCTGCTTAAAAGTATATAACAAATGACACGGAAGCATTTTATTGAAAAGCTTGAAGAAATAGTTCTAAATTAATATGTTTAATTTAATCTAATATTTGCTTTATTTGAAAATGAACAGCACCAGCAGTTGGTGGTATGGTGGATGAAGCAGATCCCAAGTATCAAACTCTTGTTGGCATGGATAACGAAAAAATTTTCTCTGAAAAAAAAGGTAATTTGATTTAATTCAAATTAAACAGGACAAATTATATCCAATATCGCCGTAGTTTCAGTGCTCATTACTGATACAAATCGAATTCAGATTTCTGAACAGCTGCAATTACAACATTCAATTCTTAATGATGGCCAATTTCACTTGCTATATCGTACTATTCCATAGTTCATGTTTCATAAGCTCAGCTTCTTAGAGCAAATTTATTTCAATTTGAAGAACTGGGGAAATTCCATTGATAATTTGCAATTTTATGTCTGATCTAACTGTTATTTGCAGAAGGCAAGCTACAGGAAACACAAGAAATTAAGCGTAATTTTTATATTTCAATTTATATAATACCTTGAAAATCATCACTTAGAACTTTAGAGTGGTTAAGAAATAAAACAACGATATTCTTTCGTCGGTCTTGAACTCCACCAAGCTGTAATTGTGTGACCGATCTAACTATACAATCAAAAAAGAAATAAGATTAAAAAACACAGATACTTCTTTTAAATTCATTCCAATGAACTGAACTGCAGCACCGACAATAGGCGGTGTGGTAGATCAAGCAGATCCAGCTTATCAAACACTTGTCGGTATGGAAAATGGGAAAGTTTTTCAAGAAAAAGGCAAATAATTTAACTTTTTTAGTCAAGGAATCAGACTAATGATAAAACTTTTGACAAACAAATAACTGGAAAATTATCTGAGTTCCAAAAAATCCTTTTTCAGTCTTCTATATTCCAAATAGTCTGTTTAACTTATGTTAATAGTAAAAATGTATTAACCGTTAAAATAATTGTTTCATTTCTTATTTCGAAGCAACTGCAGCGAAAATAATCCTCCTTTCAGCTTGAAAAGTACCAAAAGAAGATAGATGATATTTTAATTTGTAGTCCACCTGTGCACTGTGTATTAAAATTGTTATTTTAAAATTCTGTGGCATCTCTAAATCGACAGAAATATAAGTGGAAATGGCCTATTTTAAAAATCTGTCTTTCCCATATTGCTTCATAGTTTGACCAAACCAATCTTTGTATAGTAGGTCTGACCAAACCTCATAGTCTGACCAACCAAACCAATCTTAGTATAACACAAACTGAATTTAAAATTAATAAATGCCTAGCTATGTTATAGTGCAGTAAAACGCATTATAAAAACTAAAACAACTTCGTAGGCAAAAGATTAGATACCAATAAGTGTAAACAAAAACAGAGAACGGAAAAATGTAAAGGATGACTTGAAGCAGATGAACATCTTACACCCCAAATCGAGCAAATGAACGAACAATCGATCGAAAGAAATACAGAAATATTCATAAGGATGGGATCGTGGTGTTGCGTTGTGATCCTGGATGGCCATAGCCACGACGGAGGTACTTTCATTAGTAGGTGGCGAGGTGTGTTTATTTGAGCAAGGGGAGGATTTTTAGTTAGTTGTATTTAGTTTTGAGAGAGATCGAACAATTCGTAGTTTTCAGACAAGGCAGTTCTTAATTCTTAGTTTTTTTTTTTTTTTTTTTAATCCTTTTCTTCCCCTTTCCTTACTTAAATATCTCATTTTTCCCAATATTCTCTTTGAATTGGATTGAATGGGTGACTAAGGGAAAGTAAAAGCTTCCAGCAAAAATACTTGTTCATCATTTACTATGATATTGTTTTCTTGTTTTGATGTATATCTTAAAAGAATGATTTGGCAATGTTTCCTACACAGTTGCTTCATGCTTCATTTTTCCCACATTTTTTCCATAATTCTTCACAGATAACTCTGTATATGGCGCTCCCTAAGGAAAGATATGTTTAGAAAGGTATTCATCAAGAAAAAAGTGGTATGTCTACCGAAAACATAAGTATTAAGTCTCAAAAACTTGGTGAAGCAGTACATGAAGGATGGCTGATGAAGAGAGGCGAGCACATCAAGAATTGGAGGCCAAGGTAAGAATACTATTAATCAGTAATGAGGAGATTTATATTGGTTGTAATTTTGGGATGTAAGGTTTTTTTTCACTTTTGCAGATATTTCGTTCTTTTCAAGGATGGTGCTTTGTTAGGGTTCAGAGCGAAACCTGATCCAGACCAGCCACTTCCCGATCCATTGAATGATTTTACAGTTAAAAATGTTCAGGTAACTGGATTTGGTCTTTTCTGAAATTTTGATTCGTTTTTGCTTTTTTAACGAAAAATTTGTTTATCATCGAAAGTGATTTCGAAAGGTTATAGGTTGATGTCTTATTTTGAATTTCGATCTTGATGTTTTAAATTATTAAATGCCATTTATTATGCAGATCTAGGGTAAGATCTTCTAAGCTTATAGGCCTGTTTCAATGTAAATTGTTGAATTAATCCAAAAGATTATTTCGACTAAAGGCTTTCTGTTTTAGTTGATGAAAGTAGAAAGGCCAAAACCAAACACATTCCTAGTTCGTGGCCTGCAGTGGACAACCGTCATTGAAAGAATGTTTAATGCTGAGAGTGCCGAAATACGTGAGGGGTGGATTAATGCAATAAAGGTTTCCGTCTTTCATTCGATTTACGATTATGCATAAAATAATTATCGAGACCCATTATCGTTTACTTTCTATCCAGATTTGTATCAGATATTTAGGTTGTATCGGACTCGCTTAAGGAGTCGGAATCTGAAATGGATACAGAAATAATGGAAGAATCTAGTATTCTGTCCGAAGTAAACCGTCAGATAACAACTACGCATGAGCAACTCAAAATGTCAGTGAACAGTGGAGGGCGAGATATGATGAGTATGGCTGATGCTGCAGAAGCTGCACGAAGAGATAAGATCGTAACTTTCATATAATTTGTTTAAAAGAGGCTCTTAGTAATGTCATATGCTTTTTTTTTTTTAAAAAAAAAGGCCAAAGCATGATGCTTAATCATATTGCTTATGTAAAATTTTGTATGCTGGTAGAGCAGCCATCAGTAATGAATGATATACATATATCAGTTTGGATAAGTTATTGTTCGTTAGCGGAAATCCCATAAAATCAGGAATTTTGTTTGACTAATATTTGACTAGCTGATGTGTTGTATGCATCATCTGCATACTTCGCAGTTAACCTACTGGCAGAATATGTTTGGCATCCCTTGTAATTCTAGCTACTGCAACTTAGAAATTTATATCACTCTATTCAGATTGTTATAATAATTTTCAATTATTTCTCATTACAGTCTTTAGAAGATTTCGAATTCCTGAAAGTACTAGGTAAAGGTACTTTTGGTAAAGTAATCTTGTGTAAAGAGCAACGAACAAGGAAGCTTTATGCAATCAAAATATTGAAGAAAGAAGTCATTATTCAAAAGGTCCGCTGTTATTCAAATTAATAGAGTAAATATCTCAGATCTCAAAGGTCTGCAGAACTAGCTGTTATAGTTGTGCTCACTTTTTGCTTGTATTTAACTAATGTCAGAGTCATTGTAATATTTCTTATATGAGTCACCGATACACTGGATCTTTATTATAAAAAAGATATAATTGGAAAAGTAATAAGCCGTAGTAAATGTACGACTGTTTTCAGGATGAAGTGGCACATACTTTAACAGAGAATCGTGTGTTACAAAGATGCAAGCATCCGTTTCTAACTGTTAGTATATCTGAAAAATTTTTATCAGGATATTTATTTGGGATGTGTTTCAATGGCCATGTAATATATATTTTTATTGCCTGGGATATGGAAAATTCAAAATTTTTATAGATTCTATTTTGCTGCTTCCGGGTCTTGCTTTTTTTAGAACCTTTTCATGTTTTACTTTTCGTTGATAGTGCTCAACATGTTTTTTTTCCCAAAATATTTTTGCTGCTAAAAAGTAATTTAAGCATGACTCATCAATATTATTTGGTTATCAGCTGGATTATTCATTTGATAGAAATTAATTTTTTACTAGGGTTTCTATCTTTTACTCTTCTTTTCAGTTCTTTCTGCTTTCTATGTTGATAAGTAATCTTGCATTTTTCTTACCAATGAATAACTAAGACTTCATTCATTGGTAAGAAAAATGTTTATCTTAGTTAATTAGAGTTTAAAGTTTTCTTCAGCTTGCTTTTCATGATTCTTATTTTTCAACTCAGAAACTCATTTCATAAAATTATTTACAAGTTATACTATTTTCCACGCGAAGAGAAATAATGGATTGTGTTCCACTGCTCTATTCTTTTGTGTCTTTTGTATTCGTGTCATTTTAGTCATTAATTTTTCTCTAGAATATTCAGATTCTTCCAAATTATAATGGGATAAGGAGGGAAGATTCATTCAATTTTAGATTCATTTTGAAAAAAAATGAATTTTTCTCTCGCAGAAGAAACCTTCACATGAATGTTATCCTCTTTGTTTGTGCAAAAGTTATATACTTTTCTGTGTATGTTGTAGTTGTTTGTTTTAGCAGCTGAAGTACAGTTTCCAAACGCCCTTTCATTTGTGTTTCGTGATGGAATTTGCGAATGGTGGTGAATTATTTTTCCACTTACAACAGAATCGGATCTTTAGCGAAACCAGAACACAGTTTTACGGCGCTGAAATTATCCTTGCACTTGGTTACCTGCATGAACAATGCATTGTTTATAGGGATATGAAGGTTAGTACTTCACATCCTTTGGAATTGCACAAAGGATCTCTTTTATCGATAATTTCGATCCACTTTTTAGTACTTTGTTTTTCACAAAAATAGTCATAAGTAGTTGCTATTTTTTCGCTTTTTCATAACCATTTTTTGCACACGTTATTTTTGTATTATACAATTTTATGGAGGTCTGCCAGAACACTGGCTCAAGCGAAATAGATCTTTGAATTGATGGCTTTTGTATTTGATGGCTAAGGAGAATTAATTGCTAGATTTGCTTTTTTTTCTTTTCTCACTTGTTCAAAAAACCATTTCTGGAGCATTCTTTCTGGAGTATTTTCATTGCAAGTGATTACTTATATGTGGTTCTTGGAAAAAGGATTCCTTCCAATAATATTAGATAATAAGTTTAAGTATTTGAGAAGGAAAAATCTAATAGATTTACCCTTCAAAAAATTTAAAGCACTTTGTTGGTTGCACGCAGATCAACACTTTTCTGAAAAGTTTTATTATGATTTTTTGCATGCCTTAACTAATTTTAAAACACTAATTGCACTGCTTTTCTTCATCGGATTATGGACATTTTATAGAAATATTGAAGATTTCATGTTTTAAACGTCTCTTTGCAAATTTTTGTACTACATCATCGTAGTCTATGTTTTTAATTCAGTGTTTTCCACTTTTCTAGACTGTTGTCCTTGGAAGCTGTAAAATGGGTTATTTTTGTTCATGATATGTTTTATGATGAATTGACATGGGTCGTATTGGCCATCGAAATTTTACGTTTTAGTATCAAAATATCGTGAATTCTATATTTTTCATATTCTTTTAAAATTAGCTTACTGATTTTTAGTTTTTCTCTTATCAAAATTTGTGAGTACCAAAAATTCAAAAGCATACATTAAAAAATGGAAAATTCCTAATCTTTTGATGAATTTCTCAATGGAACCGTTTACGAAAGTGAGAAAAGCAGTTTTGTGTAGGAACTACGATATTCATTTCAAACCAATGATCGGCTATGCTTTGTTATGGAATTTGCAATTGGCGGTGATCTTTATTATCACCTTAATAAGGAAGTACAGTTGAAAAGAGCAGGATTCAGTGAATCACGTACTTGCTTCTACGGTGCTGAAATCGTCTCCGCAGTTGGCTATTTGCACGCAAACAATATTATTTATCGAGATCTGAAGGTTTGATGCTGTTATAGAAGAGGATAAATCAAATGCACACGCACTTTCAAACGTTGAAGGCGGAATAGGATGCCTTGGGGAAGCACATTTGACTGATTACACTGAATCTTATGCTTTGGATTCTTCTTAAAACAGATAAAATTCTGTTCATTTTAAATCAGGAATTTCAGAAATTCATATATTTGAACTCTACGTTTTGGTGTACTTTTTCCTCAGTTTCTTTGTTCGCATGTAATTACTGCATGTAGCTTAGAGCAACGCTAATTTTTCAATTGCAAAGGGGAACGGGAAGTGTTTTGGATGAATTGGAATTCGGCAGTAAAAATATTGATAAGTTACTTAAAAATTGTTTCGGTTTTAAGCGTTGTTTTATGCTGCAAAGTCTGTGTCGTTAATGCTGTGCCACTTTCGAGTTCCATCAAATATTTAAATAATTCTAAATGTGGCTTTCGAAATTTTAGTTAGAAAATTTGCTTCTGGACAAAGATGGCCATATAAAGATAGCCGATTTTGGTTTGTGTAAGGAAGACATATCCTTCGGTGATCGAACAAGGACTTTTTGTGGTACACCAGAATATTTAGCTCCCGAGGTAGTGTTCTTGCATAAAAATTACTGTTAATACGCTGTTTTTGAAGATGATTAGTTATTTTATTTAAGACTATTTCTATTTGAAACAGAATTCTTTTTTCGATTTATAGGTACTCGAAGATAATGACTATGGTCGTGCAGTGGATTGGTGGGGTGTCGGTGTTGTGATGTATGAAATGATGTGTGGCCGTTTACCGTTTTATTCAAAGGATCATGAAAAATTGTTTGAGCTAATTCTTACTGGTGCTATACGTTTTCCATCAAAATTAACAGCACCAGCTAGAGCTTTGCTCACTGGATTGCTGGTTAAAGATCCGAATCAAAGGTTGGGCAAAATATTCAAATCACTTGTAATTTAATATCTTCTGTCTAATAACTTTTATTTTTCTGAAAATCAATTTAAGTGTTGATTTATTCTTTAGTGTTAATCAATATAATAAAATTCAAATAAGTCAATTTAGACTTGGTGGAGGACCGGAAGACGCGCAAGAAATTATGCAGCACGAATTTTTTAATAATATCGACTGGGAAAAGTTGTATCGGAAAGAAATCACTCCTCCATTCAGGCCGAACGTTCAATCGGATACTGATACATGTTACTTCGACAAGGTTATTTCTTATCACTTAATTTTTGCATAAATGAAATAATAATATTATTCGGTAATGTGTTGCTGTTGAAATAAAACTCAGGATATTTATATTAAAAAGCAGTGTATGTCCAAATTTTCTAAAGGAGTATTTGAATTTCTTTGTTATATATATATATGGTTATTTGCAGGAATTTACTCAGGCTCCAGTACAACTTACTCCACCATCAGTTCGTTCAGGACCTTTGGATACAGTTGATGAAATGGATGAAATGCAAAATAATTTTGTACAATTTTCTTTTCACAATGCAGTGTCGTCTCCTTTACGTAATGTTAATGATACAATGGACGCACTCGAATAATAATCATATCATTAAATTTATTAATGAATTGGATAAATGTAGAACAAACTTGTCCAGAATTAATTCCTTACAGAATTTTTAAATTTTGTTTCATAGGAAAATTTTGTTTTAAATTTTGTTTCGGGGCATAATCCTGCAAAGGATTTGGCCTTTGCTTACGTTTTTTCGTGATTCATTAGTCTTATAATTTTACTGGTAGGCTCTAAATATGTCAAAAATAAGTTATGAAAATAATTCTAAATCTCGCAAATTTTATTATTTTATTGTACAGGAAAATGTTACATTGGTGCTGTATTTACCTTTTTTGGATTCAAATTGTAAGTTTCGTATTTTCCTTATTTTCGCTGTAGTTGTGTACTTTGCGTGTACTATCTTTACGAATTTATATGTATTTCTTCATTTTTAATGTGTTGTGTTTTCTCTGTCGGAGACTTATTACAGCATAGGATTTTGAACGGGTCTTGGTTTTCGTGAAATTTGTTTAACTTTAATCATTTGAAAAAATATATATAGGTCGAAGGGAGACATTAGATGTTATTTTATTGCACCTAATTTTTTGTTTTGGATCTACTGTAGGGTATTTATTTGTGTTTTCTATTTTTGTTTTCGTTCATGCTTCTATTCACTTCATTTTTCCAATTTGCATATAATGTCGATTCATTTGCCTCTTATATTGTATTAGTATTTTTTATTGAGCTAAATTTGTACTTACTATGTGGGCAAATGAAATATGGACATTTGTTTCTGTCTTTTTTTTTTCTAAGTCTTTAAATGTCTGATGTAGCGAAGACATTGGACTTTTTTTTTGAAATAAAGAACTTGAATGAGAAAAAACGAATGTTATTAAGAATTTCAAATGTTACACTGTTTTCTTCGGATCAAAATTACATTTTGGGACATTAATGAGGATGTCATTTCTACAACATTTGTAAAAACGAGTGCGGAATAAAATTGTTAGAATGCTATTATGAGGATTAATGATTAGGACTAGGGAATGGCAATCACTACATCGAGTTTATGACTTCTGCAAAGTCAGAGTAATGTGACATCAAGCTCTAGGATGCATTTTAATGTATCTGCCAATTCGCTATGCAAAAAGGATTGGAATGCGGATTCGCCTCGTAAGTATTTTATTACCATAGTATTGAAAACTTATGGAGCAAATATAACGCATTATCATTTTGTACGGAATGTAATGTTCGTGGTTGTATAATATATTATCCTTCACTCAACCTCCTGAAGTTACTCATGAACTGGTCGATTTCTTATTACTATTACTGATATCAAACTTCACTACGATATTCTAGGCTACATTTATTAAAATTTTATTGTAGGTCATACGATAAAGGGAAGGACATTCTATATTGGATGAACTGATTTATATTCACTCTTAATCTTATTTTTAAATTCGGCACCTAAGATACGGACAAGTATCCCTTCTTAAAACATTTAATTTGACAAAGTGAGAAATATTTCGTACCACAGCATTAAAACGGGCTAAGTGTTTTGTCTTCTCTTTAGAGGATATGAATTTCCCTTTTTTAGACATAACACTAATCGTAGATAACTTTGTTAGAGGTGCTGCTGAAACTGAAAACACAGATAAGTATACAAAAACTTAAAATTAGTCTGAGCACCTTGCTTGGATATAATGCAGTTGTGAATATCGTCTAACCGTTAAGATCATTTAAAAAAAGAATTTGTCTGTCAATGTACATATTAGAGTTCATGGTAGTAATTAATTAATAAACATATACAGATTTAGGACAAAATTAGAATGTATACAATAATGATATTGTATACATTCTCACATGTTTAAATAATCCTTGGAACCAAGCGCTTCTATTTAACTTTTTTATAAATTCTGTATTTGAAAGTGACCTTAAAAATTTTTTGAAATGATATAACCAACAAGATTTAAACTTCATTCTTCAGACAAATATTATTCAATTATCGATTCTACTATCCTGCCTTTTCCTTTCAAAGTAAAAGCACTTTCAAAACGATTGGGCCTATATCATATATAATATCAGCAATTTACAACACATGAAGACATGTACAGTAGCAAAGCTTCTGATTTGAATAAGTTTTAAACTGAAATTTCCGCAAACTTACATTATTTAGTGATTAATTTATTTGCCCGTTTATTAGCCGATTCCACTCTCACTTCATTCGATTGAGTCTGCAATTAGTATTCGGTTCATTCAGGAAGGTAAATATCTCGTGAATTGTTTTCCGTGATGGATTTCGGGATTTTGAGTTAACTAAAGTTTACGCGTATGTTTATTGTAAATAAAAATGCAGAAGTGGTAACCAGTGTACCTTCTCATGTATACGATCCAACTGTCTGTTCTGATTGCTAACTTCTGTGCTCATATCAATTGCCATATTACGTAAATTGCCAACCATCGTTGATACTTGCTGTACATTTTCGTCCATTTCATCTTCACGCGCATCATTTGTTATTCTGCATATTTCATTTTTCATTCATGAAGTGGTAAAATTTTTAACTTAAACCATTAGTTTACTTATGTATACTTAATTAGAATTATTCGAAAATTTTTAATTAGTTTGGAAGGAATTTTAGTAAGCTCCCAACGGAAAAATTGAGAAAAGAAAACGTGGCAGCTTATTTGAGAGTGATGAACTTTCTGGAAAGTTCTGCGAAGGTTAGAAAGAGAAAAAAAATCGTGGGCTAACTAGAATGTTAAATAATAGATTAGTTAACTAACCGTGTGATATACCCACCCTGAGGGCCCATTCCAGAGTCGCCAACAGTTATCCGAGGCTGGTCACTAATTACACCTCCATCATCATCCTTTTTCCACGCCTTTGCATATTCCGAGTTTTTTTCGAAATCTTCGGTCCTTCAATTTTGATTTGCGAAATTTTGTGAAATTTTTTAATAAATGAGTGACTTTTAGCGTATCATAAAAGAATGAAATTTTCTCATCAATATTAATATACTTAATTATGGATAGATCCAGAGAGTTATACTTGTGTTAAACTTTTATATTAAAATACGGTGACTCAGATATCAGAGATATGGTGAAAAATGAATGGTTCTGAACTTTCGACTTACTGATGGTAATTTATAATTTTTGAACTGCTTATATAATTAAATTAGCGAATAGATCTTATTCACGATACTGGTGACGGGAAGCTTTTCAAAAACAAACTTGAAACATGGAAGTGTGCATAAACCACAACACTTTTCCATGCCCTTCAGGTGCTCTTCAGCTTCACGCATGTCCTGATTGATTGTGTCTAAACCGCCTTCAACACGTTCCAGCTGCTCTGCAATCCTGTTTGCACATAACAATGCTATATGATTTCATCTTTGATCATATTCCACCAGTACATATATTTACAATGATATTCCTTCTTTCTAATTTAGATACTCTTCCCATATCTCTCTTCTCCTAACTCTATTCTAATTTGTAATTCAATATTAGAATTTAGAATTGTGATTGTAAACGATGGAAATTAAAGTATGGCGAAAAAGCGATTTCAGTAAAAAGATAATTACATAAAAGAGTACCTCCTTGATCATCCAACATTACAAGTGTTTTAATACCCGCTTCTTTGCTCTGAAATCATGAGATAATTTCATAAAGTAGTGTTGTCTCATCTTATAAGTTTTAGTTCCTTCCTCAAAACCATTTTTTTTTTTTTTTTTTTGTAAAGTAAAATTTTTCTAAAAAAAGTTTTCAATCGCGAAGTAGCAATTTTAGCTCTTTCAATCGATGCTAGAGTTATCATTTATTGCTAGATGGATGAAATATTCGTTCAAATATGTTGAATAGATATTCGAATTGATTTTTAATCAGAATAATAATTAGTAATGATTTTTTATGCAATATAATTCAGTTGCGGAATATATTAACATACCTCTTCACATAACTGCAGCATACGTCTTGTTGCTTCCAAAGACTGAAATATTTCCATAACTTTTCTCAAATTAGTTTTTTTCTTTTTCTAAGTTGTGTGAGTAATCAAAGACGAAAATAAAAACTTGAATTGAAAAATTTGCAAAACCCACAAGATAGTTGTGTACCACCATCCTATTGCAGTCATAGTAAATGTTGATTTCTTAATTTCTTCCCAAAAAATTACTGCATTAATTGTAAAAATAAAAAAATAATTTTTAACAATTAGCGAATATTCTTAATAGATTCTTATTCACGATACTGTTCATTAAAACTTCGTCGTTTTAACATAGCCATCATTTGTTTGCTTTTTCATTTTCTTCACGTCTAATTAAAATTGAGAAACAAACGATTTTCTATGCAAAGAAAGGTCCATAATTTCAAATCGATTATGAAACTACTCAAATTCTTAGCTTCTAGTTTCAAATTTATTAGACTGAGATCAACTATTAATTAGAGTAAGATCAACCAGGCAGCGATTTCTTCTTTAAAATCTCAATGAAATCCTCCCAGAATGAATGCTGAATAGGCCTTTTACAAATGAAGGAATGAAAAAGAAACAGAAGGAACTGATTTTATACTGCCAATGACTTTTTCAAAAAATGAAAATTTATCTGATCCACTGTTCCTTCTTTGTTATCATCAAATCTTATCATTACCTCTCAGCTCATTTGGCCGATAAGGAATGACGAAGTGAATACATCATACTGCGAACTTTATCTTACCTAAAATGGCCCTGCCTCATGTCACGACACGTCTGCACCTGTGAGATTTTTAATATCTTTCTCAGATATGATGACACCGAAAATACCCATCTGGTAGAGGGTTATATCTTTTGTGTCACCTCTTTTGATAAAAAATACATAGAGATGGCTGTGCGACAGACACTTCGGATTTTGTTACAGGATCGAAAATAACTTGCATAATTTTTCGAAAACAAAACAGACAGGCTTTCAAAAAAAAATTTCAGCAACATAAATATATAAATTGCAAAAGCAGACTTTTCTTTTTTATTTTTGAAAGGATATAAAACGATGTTGGTACGTTCACCTATAATATAAGTAAGTCCCTTTTCCTGCTGAAGACATTAGAATGAAAGTTTCGTCATAGGTTTAGTTTCATGCTTTTTAATTCTTCTGCCTTTTCAAATTTATAGAGCAAAACCTAGAAATTAATAGATAGTATTATTTTATAGACTAACAATTATGATTTCATTACTAAAGATGTTAAATTTGCATCACAGAAACATGACAAGCTTATTTCACCTGTTGTTGTAGCATATCCGCAACCAAAATTCAGCAATAACTTCAGTTAACAAAATCATGTCACTGCGAACTCCTTAATTATTTTAGTTAAGCTTACTTCATCCGTTGTTGCGTTCATTTTCAAATTAATTTCCTCCAGTGATTCCGGTATATCACCATTTGCAGTCATTTTGTCGTCTTCTACTGTTTTTTTTTTTTTTTTTTTTTTTTTTCACAAAAATTTTTTGCCACTATCAGTTATACTCTGCAAAAGCTTATACAAATCAGTCTTTAGCGGAACATGTGGACGATTAACTGACGACAGCACGTACATTAACGAACAGAGAGATTGAATTAATAATATTGGGTAGGTTTACTTAATTCTGATTTTTACCGACAAGGAATTCATCAAAACGAACAAAATAGCTGTACACAATATCATTCCATTCTGTATTTGAATAAATTAGTGGAGTGCCAGTAAGATATGCTCCCGTATAATTTATTAATTCATAAACATATCATTTATGCATGCAGCAGAGAATTGAGTGATATTGTTTACATCAGTTTTGTTTGCTAGTAATGACTGCTTTGTTTTGTTTTAGGTCCTTACCGCCACTATCAGCAGAGCTTCTGCTTCAAGCTCCTAGTCACAAATGCATTTAAAATAGAAAAAGAAAGCATCGAAATGATGATTGGTATATCGAGCCATTCCATTCTTACTCTCAAATGATAGTTGTCTGTCGTACCATTTGTGATTCTTAGCATAAGAATGATCAAATAAAAGATGCTAAAAAAGATAATTGAAAACAAAAGTTACTTGCAGACTCAATCGTTAGCTCCAAGTAAAAGCTTAGACTAAATTTTAGACTTTGCAGATAAAATGCTTTATTGCAGCTGCTGCCTTCAAGAAGTTATTCTATAAATTAGTAATTACGAAAATATTGCGGAAAAAAGGACATTGTGATACAAAAAAGTATTAAATGAAAACAAAGACATTCTCGAGAGAAATACTTTTATCTTAAAACCCAGACAACATCCTTAATCAATAACGAAACTGAAAGATTGCAACTTACCTTTAACTTTCTGATTTACGGAAGCAATTAATCATTACATCTTACGTATGAGCTTGTTATCCAAATATACTTTTGCGTTAATAATAATTGTATATTAAAATACAATAAATTATTCTATTAAAGCACAAGAATAACTCAGAAAACTGCTTCTGATTAAAAAGGATCTCATGCTTAAAGCTGAAAATAATATCATTTAATTAGTTTGCTTGTTCTTCACTTATTCCTTTCTCTAAATTTTAATTTAAATATTCTTTTGCAATCTAAACCCTTTCAAAAGAATCGATATTAATTTTCTTTTACTCTCACTAAATTACTATTCCCTTTCATAAAACGAAAAAGGCACTGGGAAATGAGATGTACACACTCTCCTCAATATGCCACTTTATTAATGAATGAGCACAGTTGTTGGAATAGAATCTTATTAAATGTTTTTTCTCAGACCTAACTGTAGCAATAGTGGAAAAGGCAATCTAAAAGCAAAATTATCTTTCAGAAGATTACCACCAAACGAAAGTCTCTTAAAGTAGCATATAAACTGGAAGAGTAAAGTAACCTTAATTGTATCATTTAAAGGACTTAATTCAAATACAGTAAAAAAATTGCAGAAGTTAAAAACACACGGTCGAAAAGATATGAAATTTGCTCTCTTATATGCATAAATCGATCAAGTTTAAATGTGCAAGAAATTTCAGTTTTTCTTTTTTTCAAATTGACATAATTACTACTAAAAAAACTCGATTCTCCACTATCTATGCTATCCATAAAAAATCTATTTTCTTCATTTAACTACATGACTTTTGAGCTATATGAGTTTTAATTTCATGAGCTGGGATAAAAGAAGAAAGAGAGTGTAATTTATTTCATCAAGGAATAACAAATAATTTAATAAGCAGAAAATGTTCAGGAAATATTTTTCGGCTTTCACCCTCTCATTACCAGTCCTTCAAAATATAAACCGAAGTAATTAAGCCATTACTTGTTGATTTGTTAAAACTTTGCTGGGAATAAGAAAAATTAAATGAATGAGAATGAAAAAGCAACATTACGTCCTATTTGTGATAGCAGCAAACTTTAAATTTATTAGAGAATTTCCATAATGAGATGCATTTAAGTAAATCATTTCTTTGATTTGCCTAAATGCGCAGTGATTAATTAATTACATCCATTTGCGTTGAAGTATCTTTGCACCTTATTTTTCATAATTTGATAAGCCTAGGTTTTTGATTTTTTAAAAAATTTTTTTCCAAAAAATGAAAAAATGAACAAACTAATAGACCTCAGAATTTATTATCAAAAAATGTACCTAAAGCAGTAAACATTTACAATATAAACTTCGTTAAATATATGTTTAAAATATTATAAACTTTGTCGAGCCAAATATCATCAATATGGTGGCAAAATCATTTACAATATTTGGATGGGACAGGGCACTATGCTTAACAAAATAAAAAGCATTTTGAAAAGGAACTTCAAACTCCATAAAAGTAACAGTCAAGCTGAAATCAAATTCTCTCTCTGACTTTAAATGATGTCATTTCCAGCCCAATAAACTTAAAATAAGGCAGTTGCAACAAGCATGAATCTTTACGGAATAAATTTCAATGTTCAGTGACGCATTTGACAAATGAATTTGTCAAATTATTATTATACTTTCGTCCTACGTAGTTTCTCCTTCTTTGTTATCTTCTATTATTACTATACTTAAAATGTAAAGGAGAAGGGAATATGCTTAACTGATTTACATGTTCATAATTTGTTTCATCTCACTTTTTCACTTCAATTTCATTTTTGCTTTTTATTATTATTCCCTTTCATTTTTCATTTCTAAATCAATCTATCTCACTTGCTCTAAGACAGAAATTATTACCCATTTCATTTCTTGTTAGCAAATTCCCTTCCTAAATTAATTCATGAAGTGGAATATGATGTCACTGAATACTTTTTTTTAATGGAAATATCCATTTATGCCAATGCTTTTACAAGCCTTTTCGTTGATCATCCGATCAAATTAATGATCCAAACTACTTTAAATTGAGGTGCAGAAGCTTTTTTTTTTTTGTTTTATTAAGAAGTGCAACGAATACAAAATAGTTTGGTAGAATACAGCAAAGAACAGAAATAATAGAAAGGAATAATACACATTTAATCTTCTCTCTCTCATAATGTGCGACACACTTATTTGGAATTTCAAAAACCATTATCAAATTTCGGATGATCCTATCTTTGTCACTAGCAAAGTAACTGATAATAGAAATAAAATTTCCAAACTGATTATGGCTGAGGTTCAGTTATATGTATGAAGTAGTGGTGTTTTGAGTAGCGAAACCACGTCCTATTAGCTAAGTTAAATGAAACATTTGAATATCCATACATCACTTTACTGATCAAGAAACCTGCTAAGTCGATAAAACACTGGTAGTAACACGTCATATCTATTTAGGTAGGTAGGCAGGTGCTTTGCTTTCTTTGTTGCCAATAATTGTTAAAAAAAAAAAATTTTACCCATTAGTTTTTTTTTTTTTTTATTTGTTTTTTTTTTTATATGTTGTTATTTACTTTCAGAGAAAAAAAAAATGAAAAGAAATTGAAGAAGCAAATACCTAATTATTGAATTTTCAAGCTATGGTAGATTAATGTCATTTTGGAATGTAAAAATAAGCATTTGAAAGGATAGTTGGTTGGACCATTCCTAAAATAATCTTTAAAGCTTTAGTAAGTTGATGCTGAAGTTTTCCAATAGTGAAGTGGCAATATAAGGCTATACTAACTGGTCGATAACAAAGAAGGTAGACATTTTTTTTAATGTGTTGCATTGAACAAAAGGGAAGTACACCTCAGTTATCAACCAACAAACCATATATAGAAACAAGAAGTGGTTTTCTTTAAAAAAAAATGTTTTGGTGATTGGTCTGTTTAAAATCTATAGAAAACAATGAAAACCTATAACTGTGCATTGTATGCAAAAAAAAGAGAAAAAAATCAGTGCTTGGACACAAATGTATACAGCAAAGTATCCAAAAACTAAATGTGTTATATGCAATAGATGAAAACAAAATATGAAAACACCAGTAAAAGGATAATCCAAACAAACCTTTTTAGCTAGAAAGATGGAAGGCAGATAGCTAGCTAGCACAAGTTTAACATGCATATAAGGGAAGGAGGAGTTGGAGGTGAGCTCTTCCGCAAGAAAATGAAAAAAAGGGAAATGTGCCACTTCCTATATTTTCCCTTTCGACAAGTCGTTCGTTATCGTCCTTTGCAGTATATTTAGCAGCCCACCCTGGCACTATGCACTCTTCAACGTTATTTGTCGAATAGTACGACCATGGAAGGAAAGCATATAATCAGAAACCCATAGCATTTAGGCTTCTTGAGTACACACTCGCACCGACCTAACACTACTTCCACAGCTTTATCTACACACACACACACACACACAGATAACTACTCCATGAATCAATACTAAACATTACTGGAATCCTAGAGGAGTACATGCAACTGCAGCAAGTCAATGAGTCAATTCGATAGTAAGCCTATTTTAAGTTAAGAAAATATATACATATATTGCATTTAGCTCTTCTAGTTTTCCTTTTCCTAGCTTTTCCATTTCTCATCATTATTAAATATTACAATATATAAATACAATGCAATTTCTCCTTACATACCTTATAGTACATTTTAATGCATTATCACCGATTGACATTTTAGATATATAAGCATAGTGAGCAAAAGCGATAAATTGACGCATCTCTAAATCCAGAAAAGTTGATGGTAAACTAATAAGTGTTTTAAAATCTGAACAAATCAGTTCTCTCATAAAGAATGAACAACCATAGTTAAAATAAATAAGTAATGTAATAATTGAAGTAATACAAAGACAGCATGGTGATAAGAAAATCTTAAAGAAAGAAAAAACAGAAAAAAAGTGCAATAAACGCAAAACGAAAAAACCACCAACAAAATAAAAAGATGGAGAGGGAACAATACCTAAAACGAAGATGTCCAAAACAATGTTAAAAAATATCATAATAGCATTGTGAAAATTCACGACAGAGGAAGCGACTCAACTCCTGTGGTAAATTTGAAATCTTCCGGAAACAGTTCTCCTGCCCGAGGGTACAGAAGTTTATATGTTTGTTTAACCGTCACTTCAGCTGCACCCGCAATTTCACCAATTTCTAAAAACTTAAAGATAATTTTCTTCCATACTACAAATTAGCTATGTGACCATATCTTTTCAAGAAACCCTTATTTCAAAACACTCTATAAATATCATCAATTCTTCGATTAGAATCTTTTAAACGCATAAAAGCGTCGGAAATAAAACCTTTAGCCGTCTTTTTATTGCTGGACGCTTGGCTTGCCATATATATCGCTGCTGCAGCTATAGATATCGGACTACGGCTAAAATGAAATAGTACAAGTGATTTGGTGAATTCTGATCACTAAAGCTAACTCAGAAGCACTTTTAAGAATTATCTTACCCAGCAACCAAATCCAGTTCGACAGCTTTTTTTGCAATTCGTGTTGCTGCAGCCTGGATACTGTGCGGCAAACCCAAATTACCACAGAATCGTGACTGAAAATTTGTATAAAACGTTAATAAAACCAAATAATTACACATGATTGTTAACAGCGTCCATTATCAATTAAAGAAGAATAAATTTTGAGATGTGAGCCTCATTCTACACTTTTTTTCTATACTTTTTCCTAATCTTTTTTTTCTTTTTCTTCTTCCTAGTGTTTTTCTAATTTCGAATTTCTTCTCCCTAGCGACTTAACAGTAATTCCATGCTAAAAAAAACATAATTCTGCATGAGTTAATTTGAAACGGAAGAATATGCTGAAAATACATAAAACGAGAAAAAATATTTAAAACTAAATTGGTTTGTATAAAATTACTTCGTTACCTGATAATAGGAATTAAAAAATAGGTAAAAGCCTAACCATAAAATCTGCACTAGTAATCTGTTCCAAACTCGTTTCCAATGACTTTATGATCAATTTGAAGCACCTTCCTATTTCTTTTTTAGAAACACGAGAAGCAGCGCAGATTTCTGAAAATCTCCCAACGATTAATGTGAGAGTAAGATAATTTGTTTCTTAAAATTTAATCATTTAAGAACAGTGATGATAAGATATGATGTCCAACAATGTAAACGATTAGTAATTTAATAACCTTTAAATGTACGTGGAACACCTTCTTTTCTGCAAGCTATGTATAAACAAGCCGCTGCTTGAGCTTCATTATTTTTACCTCGTAATGCTTTACTATCCAACACATCTTTGAAAATCTTCGCCGCTCCATCCTGAAAGACTCAACTACGTATAAACTATTCAAGTATTATCCGCACCTACAGAAATTCAATTGAAAAAGAGAAAAAGTGCACTAAATAATATTTAGAAACCTCAATAGATTTTGGTAGGTGAATACGTGCACTCATCTCACGAATTACACTTAAGCCTTGCGACATCTGTCGATCCATGTTGTTCATATTCTTGCGTTGTGCATTTGCTAAGCTGAAATAATTGAATTCATATTATGGAAGCAATAAATTAACTGGACAAACAGAAATATTGAATAAAATTGTCAATATTTTTGTCTGATAGGTATGAAATAATGGATTTTGACTTCGAATCATTCCAGTGGTAAACAAAAATGTGCAAATTGCCTGTAATCACTCTCGGAACCGCCAAAACCGACAGCAATAGATGTCGACAAATCAGCGCTTCCGAGAAGTGGATTCTCCGGTGCGCCAACACGTGAAGGATCTGCGCCAGACTTTTCGTTACTGAATGATCGCCATTCTGTGCCCACATCCACCAGTCTTGAACATAATTTTTGGTCAAAATCTAATTATAAATTTAATGTCATTTCCCTTAACTTTAAATTCAAATTATAATAAAGCGAGATAAATGAACAGTCGGTACCTGTCTCCCACAACTAAACCACATTCAGGGCAGATCAAATCACCAGCTCGATGATCCTCCACCAGATGTGCACCGGGATGTACAGGGCATTCTACCGACATCTGCAATTCTTTTAATATCCCTTTGTTCATCACACTATCCTCCGGTGGAACCATCTAGTTTTTAGGACAATTGATCATTCTAGTTTTTAGGACAACTGATCATCCTACCCCTTTCCATTTGCATATAAAAGCGGATTACAGATCTCTCAACTTTAAACGTCGAGACCCGTAAGACAACAGCCGGTAAAATAACCAGTGGAGTTTGAAACTCGCAGACAATGACCCAGGTAATCTCTCTCTAGATATGCTATAAACCAGCTCATATCCTACACACTGCAACAAATCCCCATGTTCTGCATTAGTAGAATGATAGCCTTAAGGAACTCAATCGAACATCTGTTAATAGAAATTGCTTTGACCACTTCAGCATCAAATCACTTTAACCTCAAAGAGAACATTCTTTTATGAAAATGATGGTCTCGTCGCGTCTATTGTATCATGATGTCACACATTTGCGTCTTACAGAGAATGGAATCAAAGCGCTTTGAACGAAGAGTCGTTCCTACACTGTCAGCGATACTTAACCTTGGGAATCTTTCAAACTTAAAATAAAGTTAAGTTATGAGAGGACTCCTCTTTTCCTACAAAGCTGTTATATAATTAATAACTTTAAAAAATTGTTTACTATAACATTGTAAATAGGACTTTCCCAGAGCTGAATTAAGCCTTTCTCGTGATAAGTGATGATCAAAGTAATTGCAGATATCCAAAAACGAAGTTGGAGAAACAACAAAGTCTTTTAAAAATCTTTATGCATCAACATTACGACAATCAAAATCGAAAAGGAAACGACAACAAATGCTCATGAACGTGGTCTCTCTTTTTTACCTTTAAACAAAGCAATTAAAGATGTATTAGCTACTTTCACAATTTTGAAACGCACACCTGGAATGTCGCCCACTGCATGGCCTTTTCGACCGAAGCCGGCCACCAGGACTTCGTCATTCTCCTGCAATAAAAACTGCGACAATAGCTGCATATTCACGTAGTGATAGACAAGGGATGAAGGGTATATCTTCGTAAAGTTCTGCACATGTAAAGCAATAAAAATGTAAGTTATACGCTTTTTAGTTTACCTTTGTCAACTTAAATCCGGATCATTAAAAACCGGCATTAACAAAATTTAGCAGAAGATGGTACTAAACATCTAAATAACCTAGTAATGACAGATAACGTTATGGAGTGTAAAACAACAAAATGAAACAAGACCTCGATGAAGTTCAAGCACCCATCGTTCGGGACAAATGCAGTAATCTTTTTTCCATTCTTAATTAATTGAACACGTACACACTTACGAATAGCTGAGTTAGGCTGCTTAGCTTCAACACCACTAGAAAAGAATATATATATATATATATTTTAGTAAACCGAATATCACTCCATGCTCTCCAAAGACTTCAACATCAACGTCCATATCAGTATATAAACGATCTCGCTGACCTCTGTTTGTCCTCTTGAAGAAAACTTCGAAATTATAAATTCAGTGACCTAAGAACTCCACGCATGGCTGTGTGTCAAGTGTCGTACGAAGGATGGCATCTTCTACTGAAGTAAAGATTTAAAAATACGTACACTTTTTCGAGAACAATGCCTTTGGCATGTGATGCTGCACCGAATGGATTGGCCTTCCATCGAGTCCCTAAATGAGCCTTTTTATATCCTTTATCATTCCAGCGCTGAGCCTGCCGATGTGTCTTCAATTTCCGAGCCGTACGTATACCTTTTGGTTTTCCCATCCTAACTAATTAATCACTATAAAAAATGCCTGTAAATACACCGCTTCTTTATTTAGCACTAATACAAAACTACTTCGAAAAAAAAAAAACCTTAAAAGCCTAACTATGAAATATTCTCAAATATTTTTGTCTGACGTGAAAAGAAATAGGATTATTTATACAGCTCGCCTGTGAAAATCAATATCCAATACAAGTTTTTTTATAAGTGTGGACATTGGGACAATCGTAGCAGCCGAATTGTCAACTGTTTTGCTTACGTGACAGCATATACAGTCATATTTGCTTTATAATATGGATCAAAGAATTATTGAATTTTTTATTTTGCTTTTTTTAAACATTTTTTTATTTCACTTAATGATAGACCGGTTGGTCGGTTGGTCTGTGAAGGAATTCATGAGAGATGAAGTTGTTATCTGTGTGGCTAATAATGGGATCAGTATTGGCTAAGATGAATCAAGCCTCATCCAGAGTAGCCCTGAATGATGTTTCTTCATTGCACTATATAAAAATTCCTTTGCATGTTCACAAAATTGTTCATGCAGTGAATACATCTGAAATAAGTGCAATATTACAAAAACAACTTGGCTTACAATTCAATCGTCTCAAGTCCAGCTTCAGCGTCGCTTCAACCTGATTAGAAAGTCTTTTCTTGAAGGAAATCAACTTCAGATTATTTAGTGATGACTGGATGTTTGAGTAAAAATATTTGGTTAAAAATATTTGGTTGACTTAATTATTGATTTGTTAAGAAACCGTCACTTATTTGCTGTTTGTTTCCACCATATTTATAACGCAAAAAAAAGCGTTTTATTATATTTCTAAAAGACTCATCACCACTTATTCATCAATAAAATTTGTAATTTTAGTGTCATTACAGATTGCTTTTTTGAAATCTAAAATATTTCAATATTTTAAGCTCAAAGCTATAGAATTGCTAATTAACTTGAAACCTTGATTTGATTATACTAATCAGATCAGAAATTTAATACAATTACCATTAGTATCACTGAAAATTACAAATCGATAAATAAGCTTCACCTGTTCACAGTACCGAATTTGATAACGTGTCTTATTTTTAGAATCAGCATTAATTTTTTCGTGATTTTTTTGAGTTGAATTAAAATGATGTTTATGAACAGCAGCAATTCGTTTTTGTTGAATTAAAGTTTGAGACAACAAACATTTGGAGTGTTGACAGGATACGGGAGGACGAATGAAAAAAACTAGAAAGAAGCTTTAAGCAGTTCTTTATTCTGAAAATTTCATCTTATTTGGAAATGAAAAAGCACTTAGACATTTAAATCTATGATAAATTATAATGACAAGAATGGGATGTTGTAATTTTGTCCGTTGGTATATTGTTTTTATTTGCATAAAAAGGCCAAGATTTCTGATCATTTGGGCATAGAAGCAGAAAAAACTATTAGATTTAAAGTTGAAAAGTAAACCTTTGTACTTAACTCACTTTACATTAAAGAACAGATATGAATGATGTAATGAACTGAACGTAGTTAAATTAAAAACAAAAATGGGACTATATAGGTCTCATTAAATAAGTAAGTATTTTTTACTAGCAGCATTAAGAAAGAAGTAGAAATGGATGATATGGAAATGAAGCATTCTAAATTTCTTTGCTTTGAAGCGATTTTTTAAGGAAAACGAAGAACCGATGAAACGATGTCTAAAAATTGAATTTTCCGACACCTACAAAGTTATATGGAATTGGAAATTTTCTATCAAATTCTTCTCTTGCATTAAAGTGAGGATAAAGATCCGTTATAATTAACATCTCTGTTGAAAATTATGAACATTTGTGAACAGAATGATATCAGAATTATGCATGAGGATTATTTTAAGGTTATATGAATGTGCTTTTTAAGTTTCTAGTCCTAGTGTATGCATAAAGTATTCATTTAATATTAATAGTTAACTTCAAATTTTCATATAATCCCGGAATTTATAGAGAAAATTCAGAATGTTTTGCTGTGTTCTTAATAACTTTTTGATTACAATTACTGTGATTGGAAATAAGGTTCATAAATTGAATTTTTCTTCTTAAAAAAAACGCTTCAAACAGACTATATAACTGAGAACCGGTTAGTTTTGGTGGCTTAAATTTCGATAACCCCAAATTTTTATTTCCGGTCGGCTAAGCATTAAAAACAATTAATGTTGATGTTAAATGTTAAGATAAATAATTATTTCATTGTGCAGAGTACTCGCAAAAAGCAGACTCACAACAAGTGCAGGTAATGAATTAAGGCAGTTGTCACATCATGCATTTCAGCTCCTGCTAGCCGTTCATCTTCAACAGTGGACACTAAACCGATGGGATCAGATTCCGATTGATTTTTGTGCAGGAACGATTTCTGCATAACAGAATTACAATACTCAATAGAGCAAACACAAATAATGTACTCTAAAGGAGGAAGTGTGGAATAAAATCGTTTCGAACGGACTATGTAGCATCTGAAAAGTTTTTTTTAATTTTTAGTGCTTATTTCATGTCATCAAAGGACCATAACTATATAATATCTAAAAAGAGATTAGCTTTCATGGCCTAGATTTTGATAGAATCAATTTTTATATTTCCGCTTGAATAAGCATAAAAACAAATTTTTTTGAGTTAATGTTGACGTTAAATGTTAAGTAAATGCTATTAAAACCGTAGGTAAAAAATGCTTTAGTATAAATTGACATTTTGATTATTTGCAAACATATAAAATATAATAAACTTTTGAAAAGCATCAACCCTTTTTTTTGAAAGTTTCCATCGATTCTTAGTTTAGTGGCTAATATTTGCTCCATGCATCCACGAACGACAAAACTTATATCTTAAAAAATCTTCTTGTTTAATTTCAGTTAATCGTTACTAATTTTAAAATATGAATTTCGTTAAGTTTCATTAAGGACCAATATGTGTGCCATTAATGTTCTGTAAAGGACATTAATAATTTAATGCTTTAATAAAATATTAATGATTGGCTTTCAGGAAATCATGTCGTTTTGTCACCGAAATTTTGAAATATAATTTTCACTTTCTTTTTTATTGAAATGATCAAACAAATACTTGCGATGTTAAGTGATAACGTTGTACAGAGTGGAAATTTGTGCATATCTGAACGTGGATTTGATGAGAATTCATGGCTAATAATGGATTAGAGCAACTTGACGAAGATGCACCTGTAGGCCAATTGAAAATATCTGTTTGAGAGCCAAGTTGATATCGCAAATTTGACCCCAGTAAATGAGCATATGAAACGCAATAAAAACAAACGTGAGCTGTAAACATAAGCACATGTAAGTGTTAACAATTTTCACTCTTTACATTTCAAAATTATGTATTGTCAAAGAGTTAATATAAGGAAATTCAAAACCAATGATTCAAAGGCACATTGCTAAAAAATAGCTATGGGAACTTTTTTTCATTAATAATGGTCAGATGAAAAAACAATGAGGAAGTTAGCTTGCTTCCATCATATAATTGGATTTAAGCCCATCATCCTATTCGAGAATATTCTCACAATGATCGGATCTCCACAAATCATTTCACATGAAAAGAAATGAATTTGGCTAGGCTCTTTTTATCTAGTTATAAGCTAAAATCAAAATAATGAGAATGTCGTAGAAGCAGAAAAAAATAGAATAAAAAAAGTATATATACCGGAAACCAAATTAAAGATGAAACAAGTGGAAAACAGCAAAATTAACTGGGAGAGCATTTGAGGAGGAATAGAGGTTTGCTTATCCTAGCAGCGTTAGTCCAAATATAGGCTTGGCCTGTTTTTACAACTTTGTCGTGTAGCAGCTGTTCCTCACTGCAATAAATAAAAGGAATTAAAATGCATATACAATTGTTTCTTTCCTTTGCCATCGGAACAACTAGCATACAATTGTATTAAATCTTCAATTCACTTTGTTCAAAAAATGAATAGTTAAGTTTGAGTTCATGTTTCCGTTTCATCTTGACTGCCCGATAATAAAATATTTTGTGCTTTAAGGTTTTACTGGAATGAATTATTCTCTAATATTTCATCACACTAATATCAAATTTCACAGTTACTTAATCACTCATTCCACTTATTCTAATTTTTTTCTTTGAAAAAGAGAGAGAGAAGATCATTCATTCCGTTTCTAATTTGAAAAAGAAAAAAATCAGACATAATATGAGGGAAGGAACTATCCCAATACAACCTTATTCGAAATATTCAATTACAGTTCAGGACAAGGACACGTAAAGACTAAGAATTCATAAATAAATAGATCCGGTTTGGTTGCTCTGGTTTTTCAAGATTTCTCTAATCGTTCTCATTTCCATTGTAATGACATGGAGTGACATTATAACACCAAAAGACTATCGATACACGTGACTCCCAGCTTCGAAGTGTAGCAACCCCTTTTTAGAAGTTTATGTTCAGTCATTCATTGGCTCGATTGTTATATAAAGCAACAAATACTCATTCTCATTAAAAAAGTTTTCCCGAGTGGAAGATCTGCTCTTTAAGCATCACTCATGACATTTGAAGCATATCTTGACAGTGTGTTAGAAACGTTTAGTATCATTTGTGGTGGAAAATGTTATTATATTTTTGCTATAAGAAAATAAACCACGGAATAGAAATCTTTCTCTGTTAACTTCTCTTCGTTTTTTACTTCTTTATTGTAACTGTTAAGTGCCGCTGAGTTTATAAAAGGAATTTGAGAAATACCAATATCAAATATTTAATATCACAGTAAATCATCAAAATTAAATTCACTCAATTCTTAATAACCATATCTCAATATTTCTATAATTAAAAAATTAACTTTTCATCCATCCATTCTACCACTGACAATGACTAAGAGATTTCTCATCCTTTAAACATGATTTGAATGAAGGAGGGTAAATCCAACAAATGTAATCATCGTTTTTTTCTTTCCTGTATGATTTTCCTGGCTTATTCAATTAAGTAAATTAGAAAAACATCTATTAAAATTTATAGGAAATAAGTGAAACTAAGGAGTGATTGAAAGTCCTTATTGGTGAGGATAGTTGAAAGAGAGTAGTGAAAAACTTGTACAGTGGGTTTGGTGTTTTGATCCATAATAAGCTATAGCAACAGGTGTCTCACAAGACTTATACAGCAGTTATTTTCATGTTGTTAGTTGCTCGAGGTCAATTGTCCATTGGCCATAAAATGCAGAAGTCTTTCCGCCTGACTTGCCAAGAGTTTTTCGAAGCGATCAATTATAACCAATAAAGCAACCATTTGTCTACTGTTGAAAAGGAAAGTACCAATAGGAACGGATACAATCAAATTAAAGATCTAAAGACATTTCACGTGGAAAGAAATTGGAAAGAAATATGTAAATATTTACAGTACTTCTTTTTAACTCTTTAACCACATACATTTTAGACATGTTTTTCAGTGGTACAGAAATGCGTAATTATAATTTGCAATTAACACTTTTCAACATATCTTTAAAAAACCACTAAATATCCCAATATTCGCTTTCTACAAAACGTAGAAAAAAAGACTAGTTGTTGCAGTGCCAAAATTCAATCAAAAAATCAAAATTTGAAAGATACATACTAATGTAAAAAACATGTGAGTTGGTTTCTTTGGTATAAACACAAAAGACATCACTGGAAAACCTTTTGCCTTTGTTGTTTTAAAAGTTAACAAATCAAATTAAGTGCAAATATGAAGAAATTCATTACCTTATTTTTCTTTTCTCCATTTTTAATCATATTTGCATCATACCAATATAGCTGACAATCCATTCGTTACGTTCATGATTTTTAGCAATTTTATATTTTTACTTTGTCGGTTAGAAAGAATAAAAACGGTTAAAAATTCGTGTTTATCCTCGCTTAAAACTATTTTAAAATTAATCGTCTATAATTCAATATAAGTTGTACATTTGCTGGTTCCACAAAGCGTAAATAATAGTTCTTACAAAGAGATAGAAAAAAAAAAAAACAAGTGAAAAATACAATTCCCAATTCCTTTATTGATACAAAAGAAAAAAACCAGAAAACTTCTGAAACCTAGCATTACGGATCTCCATCGATAAGAAAAACAATTCAATAAAGCAAAAGGCAAAAAAAAAAATACGTAAAATGTAAAAAACTACAGCGTAAAACACAGAAAAAAAACAATAGATATACTGGATAAATCGAAAGCTCTAAAACCATAAACTTCTAAAAATTTATCAAATAACGCAATAATTCATGCAAATAAACTGGAAAAGTGTGCTGAAAGGAAAGAAATCGTTAAATGAAAAAAAAGTTCTCAACAGAATTAAACAAGAAATTTTTTAATTAGCTATTCCATAAGACTTTAGCTCTACAGCTAAGAGAAATAAATTATTTTGATTTTCGAATTAATCAGATTTATTCAATATTATTACTCTCTATACGCGCAAGAAATTTTTCCTAAAAAAATTTCGATATAAAACAACGAAAGTATAGAAAAAAATCCACAGTAATAATCACTGAATAATAGATATTTCAAGTTTTGGAAGCTTGAGCCAAGTCGTTCCAGTGCTTAAATTAAAAAATTGTTTACCTTTCCATGTTTCGAACAAAACATTCATTACGAAAAACGGAAACACAGAAGAAAAATCCATATGTAAAAGAAAACGCAGAAAATCCTCACCCGTTTTTCTTCAGTTTTTAGGTGTCGAAACTGTTTGATAGCATATTCTAAAAAATCTTCGTATCCATCATAATCTCTCCTTAATTTACTTTCCATAGATTTTAACCACAAATCGAATCCTATTTTCGCTTCACTCATTCCTCTGAATGTACTGGTTGAATTAGTAAATAGCAACTTAGTTGAAATGTTCTCTTAATTGAAAATAATACACTAATCTTAAATTCCCAAAAATTCAAGCGATCAATAAAAGTAAATAAAACCTCCAATCTATAATATCTCTTAGATTTGCAAATCAGAATGTTCATGTATATATGCACTTCTTAACCCATATAACACACTTGGAACTGACAAAATATCATACTTTTCTTCATTAAGTTTCACAGAAAGTGAAGTTTGTCGAATTTTCGACGGCTGCAATACAGATTGTAGCATTACAAAGGAAACTGATTCCATAAACAGCACGCACAGTAAAATTTACTCTTTTTAACTAAACAATTTCAGCTGATGAGAATACATTAACTCAAAATTTGATATTTATAACATAATTTTTTCTTTACATTCTAAACCACCTCTCTTTTCATTTTCTTCCAATCGCTGATATCATCACTTGTTTTTCGTGAAGTAGTTGAAGATGCAGAAGCTAATGAATCGAAAAAGTTGTCTTGATTTAAGCCAAACGTATTCTGAGATTTCCGCTGTAAACTAACAATAAATATAATTATGAATATAATCCAAGAAGCGAAAGGAATAAAATGTAATCGTTTAGCACAAAAACTATAATTTGCATCTGGTATAAAACTTATGACATAAAAATATTATTTTGGACAACAAAATAAGGCTGTACTTTGAAGGGGTTAGAAGGTAGCCTTGGTTGAACAGGAGATAAAAATGATGAATATTCATTACTCAAAGTGGTATCTAAACTCTGCACATGTTCATTTTCCTCTTGCTCTGCTCTCTCCTGTACTGCTTTGACAACAACTTCATCGGAGATGCGATCCTATAGTTAATGAAATTTGCTTAAAGAAATTACGAAGTCTCAATAATTTCAAAAAAAAAAAAAGAGCAGAACCAACAGATAACTGTCCACCTTTTTCAATCGCTTAGGTGCCAAAAAGTCACTTTTCTTCTTATCTTCTAATAGGATATTTCTCTTTCGCTCATGTTCATCTCGCGTTACGTCTTGTTGTGCAACAGCATTTATTCTTCCGATTTCAGCAACCTAGATAAATTCGTTGAAACAGAAAAACTTGTTGCATTGAGGGGAACCTTAATAGTGATCAGCAACTTATCGAAACTAAAGAAATTTTCTGCGAAAAAAGAAAAAAAAAATGTAAACTAAAATGACCAAGTCACTTCCAGCTAAACAAAATTCTGCAAAATAATGCATCTAATTTTCTTAATTTTAATCTCAAAACAATTTTTCACCAAAAAATCTAATATTAATTTAATCACAAATGGAAAAAATGAATAAATAAACCTTCTCTGCAAGTAAAGGATGTCGTGTTTTAGAAGCAAAATTGCACATAGATTGGATTATTTGTCCAGAATGTGTGTAAGTAGCGAATTCGGCTGCACGACACTGACGGTCAGCCCTACATGCAAGTGCAAATAATCGGACAACATCTTTTGTGTACGTCGCCGAAATATCCTATAAAACTTTGAGATATAAAACAGAAGTCCCTTGTTAATTAGAGGAAACAAATCTTTTAGGACTTTGAAAATTTTTACTTTCGAAATAATATGTTCATAATTCTCTTAAAAATAATTCAAAAAAAAAAAAAAAAAGAACATAAGAAAGACGAACTAAAAGCTCGGATTCTTTTTTGTCCTCATCATCGCTGTTTAAAGCATAGCTACGAATTTCAGCTAACAAAAGCTTCTCTTCAAGTTTCGATTTTTCTGTATCCTGAGTATAAAATTTTCGGTGATTAGTCACTAATTACAAGAACAGAAACTAAAATTATTTTCAAATATTGCAATAAAGTTCAATGTTAGTATTTTTGTCTCTGTACTACCGTTCACGAGAAATATCGCAAAAATATCGTCTAAAATAATGTCTACCTGATTGCAGAGAGGAAGCTGCCACTTAACAACGGCTGGGATTGGGCGACTTTCCACTAAAGGATATTCTATCCCTCGACAATATATATAACGAATTTCACAATGCGGGTAATCCATAAAGCTGATCAGAAATATATGGTCTGAATTACTTTTGAGAGTAGTAGCAAAGTCATAAACTGGAATCCAAATGCCATTAGAGGAAAAAATCCGACAACAATCTAAAACCAGAGTTATTCGGTAAATGGTTCTATAAATGTGATTTGAATCTGATTGGTTACGAAGAAACCGTAAAAAAAAATAACAAAGAGCACTTTTGAGCACATTTGTTCAGTTAAAGATTGAAATTTATTCACTCAGTGCGGAATTTGTTAGCCTAATTATATATATATATAATGATCTTCTTTATAAAAGTTCAAAAAAATCCATAGTTATTGCACAAATATGATAGAAAAAACAATAGCAACAAAATATACATTTGCTATCCATTGTACATAATGTTCCACGACTTGTGTAACCAATCCAATTCAATTTGGCATTACGACCCACACTTATTGGAACAGTTTGTACTAGAGACTGACATTTGTGCCAGTCTTCAGTTTTCATTTTGTAAATATTTGCTACAAACTAAATTAAAAATGGTTAGTTTCAACATGCAAAATCAATTTCAAAGTCAATTTTAAGCAAACAAGAAAGGTAAAAAAGTTCGAAAAGATACATTAAATTGTGGTTCATTGTTTTCATAATAAGCACCACCATTCAGCATCACAGCTGTAAACATATCGTTGAATGCACACATAGTAAATAGTGGCCCTAAAATAATGGAATTATAAATCACAGAAATTTTCTTTTTTTCATCTTGCTAATTTTATCTCATATCCATTCTTCTCGAAAAGAAATTAAAAACATAGAGCTACCTGAATAACAAAAAACCATTTTTTGAGTTCCAGCATATGAAAAAGTTCGAAAATATCGTTGTGATGTGGCCAAAACCAAAAAAGTTCTTCCGATAACTATATTTTCAACAGATTCCCCCTCTGGTAACTTTACGCTCCACTGCCTTGAGCCATAATCCCAGGCTTTAACACACTGTACTTGCATTTCACTGCAAAGTCATTTTTGGTCATTATCCACATCTTACAAAACATCATTTCCACTGTTTGCTAAAGCTTTTAATTTTGTCATTTTCGTTAACATAATTATCGAAATGAATGATGGAGCAAAAGCAAAGCGAACCTCAAACTCTCCTCTCCGACTTTTGATGCCAATGCAACAATTTCATCATTCATGTCACCAATGGAAAAGTTTGCTGTATTGTCGATGATAATTTCAGGATGTATTGAAGTATCGTGCCAATTTATCTGTGTTATTAATTCCTTATTTTCTCAAATTTCAAAAGCATGCAAACAAAAGCTTGGAGTTGACCAGTTTCAGTTATAATTGAGATTCCATTCGATTAATATCTTTTCAATAAGATGACTAAATTATTAACACCCACTAACTGCTTTGCAAAACAGTGGTCATAGTAGTGTACGGTTCAAAATATTAGGAAATTATTAAGTAGCAGCCATTTTTGAAGATGGTTTAGTGTATTCCAGTTATCCTTTTGTGCAGCTATGTAACCTTTTATTAGTAAAAATTCGGGAGAAAATGGTAACTCACTGAAAACAGTACCAGTTTGAAGCCACAAAATTTAAAATAATTTTAGAAATAGTACTCGGTAGACTTTTCCTTTTGATCGGTATAAAAACTAAAGGTACCTCAATTCTTCCATCATCTCCGTTGTATGAACTGATTATTGTACCATATTGATTCCATTTCTTCAAAATATTATCCTTTAAGAATAATAATGAACAAAGAAATCTTTATAAACATACACCAGAAAGTTCAGAGAAAAGATATACCAAATATCTCTGTTTTCGATGTTCAGGGGTACAGCCAGTCACGAAAGCTTTTGGCACAACCACTGGTTTGTACGAAGTCGAAGGTTCAGCAGTTGTGAAAATGTGAGAATTTTCCTCGCTTTCATCAAAGATACCACGGAAATGCCCTTCCTCATCAA